GGACCACCAGGAAGCAAGCGGGCTTCTCACCCCCACAGAGCAGGGGAGCCTCCCTCCCACCCACACCAACCAGAGAACCAGGTAACCGAGGCCCTTAGACGAGTCCCCGAAAGGCAGAGCAGAACAACCCCTGGCCCTGCCATCCAGGCTCAAGTCTCCACCTGGGGCACCTCGGCAGCTCACACCCAGCGTAGATGCACAATTCTGCCTCCCTGGAGGCTCAGGAAAGGACAGTGTGGGGGTGCTCCATGCCACATCGCGCTGCCCCACTCTGGTCTCTGAAACAGCCCCTCATTCCCATGGGCTGGGCCCGCCCGGGACCAGCGGGCAGGCCCCCAGAAGAGGCCAGGCGTGCCTGGCAACCTGCGGGCTCCGAGTCTCCTCTCTCTCACCCTTTTTTTAAAAAACTACTTTGCTTCCTTTCTCATCTGAAGCCTCTGCACCCCGCCACGGGCATCTCAGGCACCACTCATTTCACTGCTGTGCCGGGAACACCTTCAAAGCAGCTAATGCTCCAGTGAAAGAAACATCAAAGCTCCGGGACACCGGCCTCCCTGACAGCTCACGCGGGACGGCCAGGCTCCTTCGCTCGGCAAACTGACCGCAGGACAGAGCGCCTCGTCTCCCTCCTCCCTGCCAAAGGGCGCCCGCCTTGGGTCTGGCTGGCCTGCATTCCTTTGGGTGAGGTTTGGGGGAGCTCTGGAACTCATTAACAATAGCCCATAACAAGACCATCAGGAAGAGCTGAGCGCGGCCTGTCCGGGTAGACCAGAAGCCACACTTACACCTGACAAGTGGAGTGATCACAGAGCTTAAACCCAACAGGCGACATAAGCTGGGGCGTGCCAAAGCATTAATAATTGACTCTGTGGGCCATTCTGAGGTTTTCATTATAATCACTTGGCAAGAGCATTTGTATGAATTGTGCTCCAGAAGAAATTAAGGCATTTTTTTCCATTAACCATCTCCCCAAGTGGTCAAAACCTGTCTCCACACCTGCTCTGACCTCCCTTTTAGGCACAGGGAGGGCAGAGTGGTTCCCAGGAGGCAGAGGGGAGGGACAGCTGGGAACGGGGTGGGAGAGGGAGAGGCCCACTCTGGCGCTCACCATAATCGTTGTCTCGTTGCAAATGATCAATCATGAATGGGATGGGGTCCTTGGGCTGGTGGATCAGGAGCTGTTCCAGCATGTTCTGTGGATACAGGCAGACATTCAGGGGGTTGATGCCTGCATGGGCACCCAAGGTCCCAGGCTCTGGTGGCCAAGCAACCTGGCATCGCTATGGATACCAGTTATGAGGCCTGATCTCTCCCCTGCCTCCCACCCTAGTGCGTGTCTGCCTCGGTCCCTGGGAGCAGAGGTGTGAGGGAATGGCCACATGGGTTTTGCTGGGGGTGGGTGCACCTGGAGGGAGGCGGAGCTGGAGGGAAGCGCCCTTGACTCAGAGCAAGCAGTCCCGGGGCCCTTGCCTCTCAGCTCCTTTGTGGCCCCGCCAGACCCGCCTTCTCTCCATCCCTCTCCTGCAGGGCATCCATCCACCCCTCAGAGCCCTTGCAGATGTTGTTCCCTCAGCATGAAGCACTTTTCCCCATGACGCTCACTAGGTCAATCCTGTGGCACGCTCCTGTGGCCCCCACGCATCCCCTTTCCTGCCTCCTCCACATCTCGGTGCCCAGCACAACCACAGAAGGGGCCCCACACAGAACGTGTGCTGGGTGACATGGCCACTGCGGCTATCTGCATCTGTCCAGTGTGGGACAGGGTATGTACTAGCCAGGTATCTAAAGAGTCCTGGGATTGTCTGGTCATTTAATTCTAAAGTAAAGCAGCTTCCATGGTTCTAGAACAAAAGGCACAGAAATGAACCAGGTGGCTGCGAGCAGTGCCGGTGCACGAAGGAGCAGCCTTCTGCCCTGGGAACAAGCAGGCAGGGGCTGCAGCCTTTTGTGGGAAAGTGGAGAATGGTGCAGTAGAAACAGCACTGGATGGTGAGAAGGCCCAGCCCCACTCGGCATCCTACCAGTCCCTTCCCCTGTTTGGGCCTCAACTTCCACACCTATTAAGACACAGCTGGACACCATCCAGGGTGCTATTGTGCGGGTGAGACCGTGTGAGATGATTCTAGATAGCTCACACATGAATATTCTAAAATTTAATTTTAAACAGTTGCGTATCTGATGTGTATTAGAAAAATGAGTACATCAAACCTTAGGATGAAGTAAAATAAGTTAACTTTTTTAAAGTGGACTGATTTAAAGAAATGATGAAGTTAAAATGGAAGTATGTTGTTGGTTTCATGAATCTATACCTGTGATAAAATTTCAGTGTGTGGTGTGTGCATGTGCACATGCTCAGTAACTCAGTCGCAACTGAGTCTTTGCAACTCCATGCACTGTAGACTGCTGGGCTCCTTTGTCCATGTAATTTTCCAGGCAAGGATACTGGAGTGGGCTGCCATTTCCTTCTCCAGGGGATCTTCCCCACCCATGGACTGAACCTGCATCTCCTGTGGCTCCTGCATTGACAGGTGGATTCTCTACCACTAAGCCACCTGGGAAGCCCAAAATTTCACAGACTCATACGAGAAAAAAAAAAAAAAAAAATGAGTGCTGGTAAAAATGGATGAAATTCAAATAAGGTCTGTAGTCTAGTTAATAGTATTGTATCTGTGTCAGTTTCCTGGTTTTGACAACGCACTACCCTTACGTTAGATGTTACTACTGGGGGAAGCTGGCGGAAGGACACACTAGAATTCTGTGCTACTTGTGTAACTTCCGGTGGGTCCAAAATCATTTTAAAATAAAAATGCTAAAAAATGAAAATGGTGAAAAACCATGTAGGGAGCACAGAAATGACTAAGGACTGGAAATAATGGACTAAAAGCTTCCTCAGGCTACTCCTTCCAACAATTGCTATGAGAGACACCAGATTCCCTAAGAGCAGACCAAGGTGCCCCCAGGACTTGCCCGTGTCCTGCTCGCCACCACTACGGACTTAGGACTCAGCTAGCCATCTCCTCCACTTAGATCAGCCACTCAGTTTTAGAAATCTCTCGTGCGTGAACACTTTCCAAAGGAAGCGTATGTCTGCAGGAGAGATAGAGACGTGGGTTTCTTACTCTGAGCTCTGCTCTCGGAGCTGTCAGACACTCAAAGAGCCACAGGCATCACTGAGGAGGTGCCTCTGGGGATGGGGGTCTACCCGGAGGAGCAGACAAATGCTCCGGCTTCCCTCTGGCCCTCAGAACCTGAGTGGCTGAGAGATCCTCCAGTCCAGCTCCCAAAGCCTTCACTTCCCCAGGCTGCCTGGGTCGGGAAGATAACTTGGAGAAGGAAATGGCAACCCACTCCAGTATTCTTGCCTGGAAAATACCATGGAGAGAGGAGCCTGGCAGGCTACAGTCCATGGGGTCGCAAGAGTCGGATACAACTTAGCGACTAAACCACCACCCCAAGATGCAGAAGGGAAACCCGGAGAACAGGCTGGGGCGTGGCTTTGCCTCAGGTCACACAGGCAGTGGATCAGTCAGGTTGGGAACTCAGGGTGAGGGCTTGGAAGCTTCCCTGAACGCTTGGCTGTGAGGAGAAAGGGCCGGGTGGGAAAAGCTGCTGTCCACAACACAGGGCTGCTGTCCCAGGAGGCGGGCCTCTCAGAGGATGGAGAGGCCACCTTCAACTCCGACACTCCCCAGCTCAGACACAACACCGCAGCCAGCCTGGGAATGGTCAGCATCCGATGAGTCCCTTGGAAACCACCTCTTGCAACCTCGCGTTTCACAGACAGGGGAACTAAGAAAAAGAAAGGGACCTCTTCCAGGTCATCGACTTGACTGGGTCGGAGCAAGGGTCCAGTCACGGCCGGGATGGCCTGCCCCCTTTTCCTCCCTCCAGGGCCAGCTGAGTAGGGTCAAGGAGCATCTTTCGGTCGAGGGGTCCCTTGGGGACACGATGACACAGTCGTGTCGGACACCCCAAGTACGGCGGCCTCGTGGCTAACAGACGTGACCCCTCCCAGATGTAGGGTCGCCAGCGCGCAGCCGGACCGCCTCCAAGAGGGTCCCCGGCCACCGCCTGGTGTCGCGATAGGACAGGGCTGCCCGGGTCACCTGCATCAACTCGAAGACGTGGTTCGCCTCCCCATACTGGGGCATTTGCGGGGGGATGCGGTGAGGGGCGGTGGTCGCGTCCATGCTGCTTCGCAGCGCGGCCGCTCCGTGGGGACCGCTGTCGCTAGGCCTGGCGTCATCAGCACCCGCCGCTCCCTGGGGACCGCCGTCGCTAGGGCCACGTCGTCATCAGCACGCGCCACTCCCTGGAGACCGCCGTCTCCAGGGGCGCCACGCGACTGCGTCATCAGCACGCGTCGCTCCCGCACCCCCACCCCCACCCCCACCCCGGGGCGAGGCTGGTGCCGGGTCTGGCTCCGGGTCTCCTCAGCCGCATGAATCAAGTGCTCCCCAGCCCCGGCCTCGCCCCCCGACTCTGCGCGCCTCAGCGGGGAACTCCAAGTCTCCTCCTGCTGCGGCCTCCTGGTTCAGAGGGCCCCCTCTGCGCTGAGACACCCTACAGTACTCCGAGGGCACGTCGGCCCGGGAGAGGCGGGAGGCGGATCCTACTTCTGTTTCCGCCAAGGCGCCCCGGCCCAGGCGTTCCATTGCTCCTTGAGCTACCCCAGCTCCGCTCTCTGGGCCTCAGTTTCCCCGTCTTTAAAAGGAAGACCCTGGGGTAGATGTGGGGCCGTTCAGCTCCGGCGCTCAGTCGTGTCCGACTCTTTGCGACCCCCATGGGCTGCAGCACGCCAGGCCTTCCCTGTCCATCACCAACTTCCGGAGATGTGGGGCAGGGTGTTTGAAAAAGGAGGGACGGGTGTGTCCCTCGACCCCGGGGACCAGCCGGCAGCTCCGGGGGCGGAGGCGGGGCTGCCACGTGACCCGATTGCTATGGCAGCGGCGGTAACAATCAGGCCCGCGGCCCCGCCCCTTCTCACCCCCACCCCACCCACCCCTCGGCCCAAGCCCCGGGAAGGGCCTCCCCGCCCTACCGGGGCCCCAGACACCCGCGGAGACTCTCCGGCTTCAGGGCGCTCCGTTGAGTGAAGGCCGCTCTAGGACAACCAAGGTTAAAGCAGGCCTGGGGAGGGCCACCCAAGCCCTGAATTTGGAAACTGGGGGGCGAGGGGGGTGGCGCTGGAGAATGGAGGAGGGCCGCCGCTGCCGCTGACCCAAGAGACCGATGGGGTGGGACGCGATGGGGAGAAGGAGATCTGCGAATCGTGTTCATCCCGGGTGGGGGGCGGGGGGTGGAACGCCTGGTATAGGCCACGGCACTGAAATGGAAGCTCTAGCTCTTGTCCAGTTGCTCTTCTCAGGAGGAGCTGCCCGTTTTTGAGCTGTGCTCTCAACAAAACTATGGTGTCTGTGCACGTTATGGAGAGGGAGCATGGCATAGTCAATGCAGACTGCGCAGAGTTCAAATCCTGACTCCACTCTCAACTAACTGCCAGCCTGCCCTGGGTCTCACTTCTCTCCCCTATGAAGTGGGGATCATGGAAGCTTCCATGAGCTAATGTAACTGATGTGCAGTGAATGCACAATGCATAGCTGCTGCTCTTAGTGATATTATCTCACTGAATCTTTGCACCAACCCTGAGAAATAGGTACCTTCATTCCATTTTACAGATGAGAAATTGGAGGCTCAGAATGGTGCAGAGTTGTTGGCTGAGCCATTTCCCCCCTCTTTCCTCATCAGTTGTCAATCATGGAGCATTAGAATGAATCAGAAGAGCCCTTGAGCTTCTAATCCAAACTCCCTCATTTTACAAATGGATAAACTGAGGCTCTTGAGAAACCTGTATGCAGGTCAGGAAGCAATACTTAGAACTGGACATGGAACAACAGACTGGTTCCAAATAGAAAAAGGAATTTGTCAAGGCTGTATATTGTCACCCTGCTTATTTAACTTATATGCAGACTACATCATGAGAAACACTGGGCTGGACGAAGCGCAAGCAGAAATCAAGATTGCTGGGAAAAATATCAATAACCTCAGATATGCAGATGACACCACCCTTATGGCAGAAAGTGAAGAACTAAAGAGCCTCTTGATGAAAGTGAAAGAGGAGAGTGAAAAAGCTGGCTTAAAGCTCAACATTCAGAAAACTAAGTTCATGGCATCCAGTCCTATCACTTCATGGCAAATAGATGGGGAAACAGTGGCTGACTTTATTTTGGGGAGCTCCAAAATTACTGCAGATGGTGACTGCATCCATGAAATTAAAAGACACTTACTCCTTGGAAGGAAAGTTATGACCAACCTAGACAGCATATTAAAAAGAAGAAACGTTACTTTGCCAACCAAGGTCCGTCTAGTCAAGGCTATGGTTTTTCCAGTAGTCATGTATGGATGTGAGAGTTGGACTATAAAGAAAGCTGAGTGCCGAAGAATTGATGCTTTTGAACTGTGGTGATGGAGAAGACTCTTGAGAGTCCCTTGGACTGCAAAGAGATCCAACCAGTCCACCCTAAAGATCAGTCCTGAGTGTTCATTGGAAGGACTGATGCTGAAGCTGAAACTCCAATACTTGGGCCACCTGACGTGAAGAGCTGACTCATTTGAAAAGACCCTGATGCTGGGAAAGATTGAAGGCAGGAGGAGAAGGGGACAACAGAGAATGAGATGGTTGAATGGCATCAGCGACTCAATGGACATGAGTTTGGGTAAACTCCGGGAGTTGGTGATGGACAGGGAGGCCTGGTGTGCTGTGGTCCACGCGGTTGCGAAGAGTTGGACATGACTGAGTGGCTGAACCGAACTGAACTGAGGCCCAGAAAGGGGAAAATTCTAGGCCAAGGTCACTCATTAAATCTAAAGTAGAGCCAGACTTCCTATGCATATTCATTGGAAGGACTGATGCTAAAGCTCCAATACTTTGGCCATATGATGCAAAGAGCCAACTCTTTGGAAAAGACCCTGATGCTGGGAAAGATTGAAGGCAGAAGGAGAAGGGGCGACAGAGGATTGATGGTTGGATGATGTCATCAACTCAGTGGATGCGAGTTTGAGCAAACTCTGGGAGATAGTGAAGGACATGGAAGCCTGGTATGCTGTAGTTCGTGGGGTCACAAGTCAGACATAGCTGAGCAAACGAACAACAACAAAGAGCCAGCGTGGAACTCAGTTTCCTGACTCCTAGCCAAAGCCTTTGCCAGCAGTCACCAGCCCAGAGACACAGCCTCCAAGGGAAAAGGGCTCTCGCCCCCTCAGAACTGCCTCCTCAAAGCACGCACATCTTGGTAGGCTTGTCAAGTCAAATCCAAGTGCAGAGACAGCTGGGGAAGGGAAGGAAGCAGCCTCCCTCTGAACAAAGAACACAACCACCAAGCCTGCAATTTGTACTGCAGAGGTTCAGCTTGCTTCCTGGACATTTCCGAAACGACTTGCCTTTCTCCTCATTTATTTTAAGCCCTAGGCACTTTTCATACCATGATTTAATCTTCTTTAACAGCCAGGAAAAATACAAATCAATTAAAGCTGAAAATCTAGTGGGTAATCACTTTTTCCTTCCTCCTACCCCAGATCAAGAAGCGCCTGCACCCCCTGCCTTTCATCCAGACTAATTTGATTGCGGTGACTCTTGTTCAAGGGACAGTCGCTTTGGATAGCTTATTACAGCTCCCCGCACGACATTCCTGGTGCGCATGTCACAAATCAATAGGATCAAGAACCAAGTCGGTTTTGCTCTCAGGGCCTCTTGGGGCCACCAGCCAAGGTAGGGCTGTATCCCTGAAGAACTTGGCAAGCCCAGGAGGGTGGCAGGGAGCAGGATACATTGAATGCTAGTCCTCATTGCTTTGGGATGGGGAACAGAGAACAGTCTCACGTAAGTGGAAGCAAGGTGTTGGGTCTGGGTCATGTAGGCCCTTGGTATCCACACCTCACCCACCCACCCACCTCCCTGCAGCCTCAGTCAATCTGGTATCTGGTGTGTTTCTCTCAATGGACCCTCACTGAGGTGAGGGGAAGAGTGGAGGTAACCAAGTAAAGATCTCGGTTTCAGTGAAATCGGGCAGAAGTGAGTGGGACATCCATGTTTGCTCACATCCCAGCTGCCAGACCTCAGCTCTGTCGTCTGTCCTGTGGGAATAACTGTGGTACCTCTTTCAACGGGCTATGGCGAGCATCTGAGATGAAGCTCGTCCAGGGTTTACCTAGAGGCTCGCTGAGTAGCCGGCTGTTACTAGGAGGATTGGGGCAAGCCACCCAGGATCTCGGTGAAGGCTGAAGCTTGGCTCCAGTCCGGCCTCCCCTGCACCCGTCCGCCTCCTGCAGGTGCCCCTCCTGCAGGTCACGTAGCCCTTCTGGCCACCCCCCCACCCCCCGCTTTCTTTTCTCCTGAATCTGAACTACCGTTTGCTCACTGTCTGCCTCCCACTCCTAACGTCCCTCCAGGGTAGGGAGTCTTGTCTGTTTGGCTCAATGCTGTGTGCCCAGTCCAGCACCCTGCAGGTGTCTGACCCCTGGCAGGCGCTTCAGCACAAATAAATGAATGATCGCCTCCACTGCTCTGTGCCTCCTGGGCTAGAAGCCTCCGTGGTTGCCCTCACAGCTCTGCCCTCATGTGGGGCCTCAGCCTCGCCCTGCCCACAGCCTCCACCCTCTGCCCAGGGCCCCACCTCCTCCGCCTGCCTGCCTGCCCACCCTCCTCTCCAAAGCCGGCCTTCTTTCCAGACCTTCCCTCCCCTAGGAGGCCGAGCCGTCGGCAGCTCCTGGGGCTTTTTCTTTGGGGGGGGGGGGTGTACGTCATGCTTGCTTTTACCTATCTTGATTGCTGAGTTCCTGGCACTCCCTTACCTTTCACACCCAGGTATGTGCCTCACTCTCCTCTCCCTAGGCCAGGTCCTGGTAGGCCTGCCTCCACGGGAGGCAACAGAAAACCACTGCACCCAGGTTGACCGTCATTCCCGCCTGCAGGTAGGGCTGGGGGGGCCTTGGCTGGCTATGACAGTTGTCTGACCATGGGCCCTGCGGCATCCCGTAAGCCCACTCCCCTCCTGTCTTGGGTGAGGGTGAGGGTTAGCTTCAGCAGAACCAGGGGAAAGTTGAGTGGAAGGAGGCCCCGCCCCGCGTGGCCCTGGGTCAGGCCTGACCCCAGTGGCACTGTGCTGTCCTGCTGGCAAACACAGGCTCTGGTGCCTAGGATGGTGCTGCCAAAAGGGCCCCATGACGTCTGCAGGGCGGGGCCCAGCAGGAAGCAAGCCTCCTCCCAGCCTGGGACCTGGTGGCATGCCTGAAATGCATCCTTCCCTTCCTCAGTCCCCCCCGCCCCCCACGTTCTGGCCCCTTCCACTTGCAGCATCTCGCTGGGGCATTGTCTCCGCGCAGCTGGGCCTGGGCTCCACGTGTGCAGGGGCCTCGCGGTGCGGGGCAGCGGCTGCAGCACCTTCGAGGATGCAGGTGGTTAGACCTCAGGAAACCCAGGACCTAGGGTGTCTCCAGCACAAGGTTGCTGTGAGACCCGGGACCTCAGCTTCCCCCGAAGTTAAGGGGAGTTAACCTTCTGAGGTGCCTGCCAGCCCTAACATTCCATGAACCTGTGACCCCGAGCACTTGGCATGTGCTCAGTAAACCTGTGATGTCATGGAAGACAGAACCCACTGCCGTTTCCACGCAGAAGCAGCTCTGGACGCACTGCGGACCTCCCGATCACACTGGGGACAGTCTGTGAGCGTGCTCCCCACAGCATCAGTGTTTCTAACCTGCGTCCTCCCTGCAAACAGCATGGCCAGGCCAGGAGAAGGCACCCCTGCCAGTCCTGCCCCGGGGACTGGCAGACCCCAGCTCAGGGCTCCTGCCCCAAGCACAGAGCCGAGCACCCACACCTCAGACAAGCTGAGAGGGTCCCGGTGCCCACCTCCCCTGCATAGCTGGAAAAGAACCCCTAGACTGTGCTGCCAACTGTTGAGTGGCAGATGTTTTAGAACAGTTGGATCCCAGCTGATGAATACATTTAACACATGGCCATGGGAGGCCATGTGTATGTGTGTGATAGACACCCACAATCTGGAGAAACTGAGGCCCAGACTGTGTCCTGGAGTGTGTGTGTGTGTGTGAGATAGACACCCACAATCTGGAGAAACTGAGGCCCGGAGAAATTCCCATCTACAGTTGAGGGAAGGAAGTCTTGTTTCGCGGAAAAGACCATGTCCCTGGGGGGTAACAGGGCTTGGGTCGGGTCTGGGTCAAGCCTGATTGTGTCACTGACAGCCGGCCAGGTTCTTGGGCAGATGCGCAGCATCCCAGGGCCTCACCTCCCTCTCTGCAACATGGGGGTGAAGACTGTCTCTGCTCCCAGGGCTGTGGGAAGCTGCTCAGCGCCCTGGGAGCTCAGGACTCTCCTTTTCCTCCGCACAGGCTCCTCTGTGCCCCAGTGAGCAGGCAGAATGATGAATGAGGTGAAAGAGTCCCTGCGGAACGTGGAGCAGAAGTACAAGATCTTCCAGCAGCAGCAATTCACCTTCATCGCAGCCCTGGAGCACTGCAGGGAGAACGCCCACGACAAGATCCGGCCCATCTCCAGCATCGGGCAGGTAGGTGCTCGCGGGCAGGTGGGGCCAGGCCTCGACCCCTTGCTGGAAAAGTTGGGTTTGGAAACCAAGGCCCAGAGAGGGCCAGCAGGTGGGTGCAGGGATCAGGTCTCAGATCCTAACTGTGAAACAGGCCAGGCACTCTTTCCCTCACCAATTACGTGAGTAAGAAAGCAGCTGAACGCGGGGGCTGGAGACACCACCAGCCAGGGTTTAAGTCCCAGCTCTGCCACATGCCACCTCTGTGACCTCCGGCCAGTTCCAACTGAAAACTAGAAAGAGCAGCACACCCCTCTCAGGGCTGTTAGGCAGATTTCATGAGATCATCTGCAAACCCACGCCCCCAGCACCTGGCAGCGTCCTTCGTCCCAGGCCCTGGGGCTCAGGACAGGGATGTGTGGTGGACAAATAGATGCACATGGTCCCAGCCACTGGATTCCCCTGGGGCTTAGAAACTGTGACCCGCCAAGCACATTGCTAAGTCACGTTTGCAAATGATTTCATTTAACTGGAGTCTCCTCTTTGGGTGAGCTGCCATCCAAGTTTGCCCTGCCGAATGTGGAGGCCTCAAGACTGAAGCAGCCTTCCAGGAAGCCAGGTGCCTGAGCAGCTCAGCTCTAGATGGGTCCCTCTCCCACTGAAGAGATGCCACCTGCTAGGCAGTGGGGACCAGGCTCAGAACTGCTTAGGAGAAGCGCACGGGGCCACAGAGAACAACCCTGGCCTGGCAACATTTAAAAAAAAAAAAACAAACACTTTTTTTTTGTAAAAATGTCTCCCAGTTTAACTTGAAATTTTAAAAACCTGCAGAAGAATACCCATATAACCTTCACCCAGGTACGCCGGTTTACTATTTAGCCATGTTTATACACACGCTCTTCCCTCTGAACTGCCTGAAAGTAAACCGGCTGCATCCTCGTCAGCCCGTCCCTCAAAGGCTCAGCCTTCCACGGGCATGGATAGGTGTTCAGCATCAGGAAGGGCCACCTGAGACGCCCGCCCCACCTCTGCGCAGAATCTCCATCGGGGCTTTGTGACCCCAGCGTGCTCCTTCTTGCCTTTAGGGTCAAGAAGGCTTCTGGCGAATAACAGCCCCACCTGTGTGGACTCTCAGCCCTCCCCCTGCCCTTCCTGGCCCGGGGTATGGGAAGGTGACCACCTGCCCCGCAGCCTGCAGGAGCCCAGTGACCGCTCCGTTGTAGTTACGCCACAGTGCGGGCCCTCCCTACCCCGGATCCTGGGGCAGGTGTGCTTGCAGCGTAGGTGGATACTGTGGGCGTCAAAAGCCTCTTCCCCCACACAAAGCTGTTGTCCTTGGGAAGGACCACTTGAGATCACTGGGGGAAGACATCCTCTAGCAACAAGAAGGCAGCTGGGAGTGGCAGGAAAACCCGGGTGTAGACTCAGAATTTTCTGGGAACTGGAGGAGGCAGGCAACACCCCCTTCCAGCAGATCCCTGAGGGCAGGACCACATGGAATGGGGCAGTTAATCCTGCCCAGACTGGAGCCCGCTCCTCCTGTGCCCGCGTGGATCTCAGACCCAGACTGACTGGGTGTCCGGATGTGGAGTGTCCTGAGCTGGAAAGGCCCCCAGGGTCCCCAGGGAAATGAGCTGAAGTTAGATCAGCTGCATCACTGTCCTTAGCCTCTTTTGTGGCTTAAGAAAAACTTCAGTTCAGTTCACTTGCTCAGTCGTGTCCGACTCTTTGCAACCTCATGGACTGCAGCACGCCAGGCCTCCCTGTCCATCGCCAACTCCTGGAGCTTGCTCAAACTCATGTCCATCAAGTTGGTGATGAAAAACTTCCCTCCCACCAAAACACATTCACATGGGAGCTTTAGTTTGTTTTTAGTATTTTTTATATTGACTTTTATTTGGCTCAATTTAGTTACATGGGTCTATAGTTGTAGCACATGGCGTCTTTAGTTGCAGCACATGAACTCTTAGTTGCGGCATGTGGGTCTAGGTCCCTGACCAGGGATGGAACCCAGGCCTTCTGCACTGGGAGCAGTCTTAGCCACTGGACCACCAGGGAAGTCCCTGTTTTTAGTAATCAAGTTCTCCATTCTCCTGGAGTTGATTTTGTCTGTGGCGTGAGGCGGAGGCTCCATTTCTTTCCTCATACGGACCAGTTTTCCCAGCTCTACTTAACTGACCTGGCCCTCCTTTCTCTGCCCCTGGAAACGTAGGACAACAAGACTGAAACAGATTCTAGTTTGCTCCGTCAACTGAGTGGCCCAGCCCAGAAACTCTCAAAGTGGGTGGGACCTTGGCATCAAGAGTCAGGGACCAGGCCCCTGTACTTCAAGTGCTGGCTCAGCTGCCTGGGTCTGGGCTCAGAGCTCTGGAGCTAGGGGGACTCAGCCTCACCACTGTGGCGGTACCTGGGCAGGTATTTCACCTCTCTGAGCCTCATGTTCATCTGTAAAATGAGGACTGAAAAAGGGGACCCGGAGGGTGGCATTCAGGGAGGACTGAGCGCGATGGGGCCGTGACACTTCACGACGTTCACAGTCTATAGGCCTGTAGACCCGACGGCCTCGCACATCGGGGTCCTGTCCCCCGTGACCCGGGAGGGCGGGAGGACCAGGGCGGGTGCTCGGGGGCCCTGGGCACTCACACCCCGCGGGCCCCTGCAGGTGCAGAGCTACATGGAGCACCACTGCAGCAACTCCACAGACCGGCGCATCCTGCTCATGTTCCTGGACATCTGCTCGGAGCTCAGCAAGCTCTGCCAGCACTTCGAGGCCCTGCACGCTGGCACCCCCGTCACCAACAACCTCCTTGAGAAATGCAAGACCCTCGTGAGCCAAAGCAATGACCTGAGTAGCCTGCGAGCCAAGTAAGACCCTCCTGGTCCCATGAGGGGTTTCCGCACGTGCGTGTGGGAGGAGGGGCGGGGATGGGCGAGGACCCCTGGAGGAAGTGAGTCCCGGGGCCACTGTCCAGAGGTCCCCAGCTGGGAATCCTAGGCCCCTGGGTTCAGCCGAGTGACTCTGACCCAACAAACTGTTCACTGAAAATGAGGGATTCTGAAGCCCAGGCCCAGCAGAACGCAAACCCTCTGGCTCGAGGCAGCACCGGGCCAGAAGCAGGTGTCACAGAGCAGTTGTTTCCAGGAGCCCACAAAGAAATGAGATATCAGGAGCCCTATCCCATGGGCGTTAGCTACTCGGTTCCCTCATTCTGTGCCCTGGCGGATCGATCCACAGCACAGAGTACCAGAATTCAGAGCAAGCCGTTTAGGTGTAAGGGTGAGCAAAGTCAAACGGTACGTGGTGCGCCTGGGGTGATGACAGCAGGCTTCCTCGGCCCCTGCCCAGGTCTCTGACAACCGCAGGCCAGGGGTTCTCCCCTCGCACCCTTCACACCGGGACCCCTGGGGGCTCTGGGGCCCTAAACCTGCTGAGCCGCCACCATGCCTGGCATGGAGAGCCTGGCCTGGCGGGCGCATGGCTCCAAAGCCTCCCCAGGGGGTTGTGCAGTGGGGGCAGCCTTAGAAAAAACCCCTGCCGGCACACCAGTCCCCGGAGCAGGGCTCACCCAGCCCGTCCTGCCACCCTGCAGATACCCCCACGACGTGGTGAACCACCTCAGCTGTGACGAGGCCCGGAACCACTACGGAGGTGTGGTCAGCCTCATCCCCATCATCCTAGACCTGATGAAAGAGTGGGTCGCCCACTCAGAGAAGCTGCCCCGCAAAGCGCTGCACCAAGTGAGTGAGCCCCAGGCAGCCACGCTGGCCACCGCGCACACTCCCCAGGCCTCGGGCACCCAGCCCCAGCTACGGAAACAAAATTGTGGGCAACTGACAAAGAACATCCCCAAACCTGGGGGGAAAGACCAAGGAAGTTCAAAACCGCCCTGGAGACCAGCCGGTGGGAAACTGTAACTCAGGGTTGGGGGGACCCACCCGACCCCAGCCCTGACCCACCCCATCGCGTTCCCTCCCGTCCCATCCCGCGGGGCATCCTGTAACTAAGCCTGGTTTCCACCAGTTGATCCATCTGTACTGGTGCTCACCATCCTTGTCGCTTACTGATCCCCAGGGGGCTACCCCACAATGGACTCCAAACTCTTTCCCTCTAGCACTTTAACCTCTCACTTTCCTTTGCCTCCGAGTGTCAGGCCCTGTGCCCAGGAGAAGCACCCCCACTTACATTGCTGCTGGTGGGTTCAGGGGAGGGGGGTGGGCCCCCGAGAGGGCTGGGGGGTTGCCCAGGCCCAGCCACACAGCCGGAAGAGACCGAGTGGCTCCCTTCCAGCCGCGGGACAGAGCTGCTCCAGCCTGAGGCTGCTCGGTGGGGTCAGGTCTCTGGACCAAAGGGGAACAAGCCGCCCAGCCTCTCCTTTCCTTGAGAGAGAGACAGAGAGAAGTCAGAAGAACTGACAGTGTGGCTCCTGCAGGAGGACGGTCACCTGGTCCCCGTGACCTGCCTGCGGCCCAGGCGCTGGGCCTGTGGAGTTGGTGCCGAGCCTGCCAGAGGTGCTGTCTCACTATTGGTTTTTCCCTTCGCAGGGGGCGACTTAGCTTCTGTATTCTTGCTTCCTCGGGGGCGACAGTCAAGAATAAAAACGTGTTCTGGCACCTCTCTGCCTGGCCAGCTTTCCTGGCGCTCACCCCTTAGAGAAAGTGACACTCACCCCAAGATGCCAGAGGATTCTGGGCAGGAGCCCCACGAGCGGAACCGCTGGCAAAGATGCCCGTGTGCAGAGGACACACCTGCCCCACGTAGAGTCTGCTCCCTAGAGGTTCAGGCCAGAGGCCCGCAGCAGGCCAGCCCAGTTAACTCTTTGCAGAGTTAGAGGCCTACTCAGACAAGAACATCTAAATTTTCCAGACAGAATTTAAAACTGCCACCTCAAAGTCTTGTCCCAAAGGAGCTGCTTCCTCCATTCAAATGGGCAGAGCACACAGATTTTCAGGGCGGTGAGGCAGAGGCGAGCCGTGGAAAACCACACCGCACACAGGGTTCTTCACCTCCGCTCCTTCCCCAGTCAGGCCAGGGTGCAGCTAACAGCCGTCTAAAGGTAGTTTAGACCACCTTCCTCCACAGGCCTCATGGGGAGGGCAGGTCGTGGATGCGGGCTGCCCTTTCTCCTCGGCACACTCGCAAGTTCAGTGTCATTTGGGCTCAACTGTAAGGACTGTATTCAACCCCGTGTGCCAGCCACCCGCTAGGCAGGCAGGCACATACCAGAGCCAGTATGCTAGAGATGCCTGCAGTCACTGCTCCCGCACCACCACCACGCTCTCTGGGGAGAGGGCACGAATCTGAGACAGACACGGGTAAAATCTGCGGCTTTGCCGAACAAAAGGTCTTTCTTCCAGGGACTAAAGTCCAATTCCACTGTCAGCACCCTTCCAGCACCTGGGGTAAATAGCCAAGCAGTCCAGACCCAGGGCCAGTTCCCACTCAGCCTGGAAGCCCCTCAGAGGCCAACATGAGCCACTTCAGGTCAACACAGCAGAGTAGTGCAAAACAATAAATTTTTATTTGTTCACAGTTAAACACAAGCAACTGCCTTGACATTTCTGAACATTCTAAGAAGGACAGCAAACCCTTTTGATTCAGATTCCCATTCACTACGATTGTACCATTTTTCTCTTGCAGTTCACGTGTTTGGCATCTGATGTGGATTGTCTGACATGCTTTTAAGATCGAGATGGGAAGGTGGAAACCTTTTGACAAAAAATGACTTTCTTAAATTTAGCTAAAAGCAGTCAGCCCAAAAAAAAAAATTTGTTTTTCACTGATGGGACCCCCTTTAAACTGCAAGGTAGCCACGTGTGGTTGATCCATGATTGAGTTACAAAACTAGATTATGTCTTAGCAAAATCTGTTCCTCCGTAATATATTTATGGTCCATAGAAGTCTTCTGAAAAGTGACCACTGATTCTTCCTAGTGCAAAATGCCTGGCTGCCTCTTCGATAAGCCAAAGTCTGTGCTGCCGAGAACAGCGCCGTACCCTCCTGTACAAACACTGTATGGAGGTGGGGAAACAGGGAGGAGTTGGTCTGGAAAGCGGGCGGGGGGCGTTTCCTCTAAAAGATCTATTCCAAGTTCAACTAGTCTACTTATCCCCAAGGATGGACAGTTTGGTGGCACTGGGATGGGAAGGGAAAGAGAAAGCTCTTCTGCCTTCATGAACTCATTTCAAGGCCAAAAGCCATCTCGGGCACAGACGCTCAACTGTCCCCAGGAGGCTCCCCTTGTAGCTACAGCCATTCATTCTCCTCTCAGGTTGGCATGTACGGACTGCAGGACTGCGTGGAGAAGACGGAAACGTGGCTCCCCCCCCCCCCGCCCCCCGGGGAACGAGCCACGTGGGGGCTGGGCCACAGCAGCAGCCCAGGGACCAGGCTAGAGAATGGCTTAATCAAGTGCCACCAAATCCTCTGCCGCCGTCTGGGGGAGGGGGCGGGTGGGGCATGTGTCAGAGAACTCTGGACGTAAACAGACACACATACACCTTCCCATGCTCACTGCTGGTCAGTTTTAAAGCACGCACCTCCAAGAGGGAAACTGCCCAGAGTGAGACGTGCTGATTCGGGTCATTTCACATGAGACACACACTTCTGGGTGGGCATGGGCTGCTCCCAGGGGCCACTGAGTACAGGGCTGGCCTCTGGGAGAGGACCCACACAAGGCGGACCACGCCCCACAGCAGCCCCGGACTGAGTTTTCAAAGCCCTCCTTAGACCCATCCACACTTTCTACCACGTCTTATTGCTTTTGGTCAGAAAAACCGCATCTTCATGTAGTATTTCTTTTCACTTGTTCCTCAGTTATTTCTTTCTGTTTTCAAGTGGTATATTCTAGTATTTGGTGAGAATTCACACTGGCTAGTCATAGCACTTTTATCATGTTCTCTACACAGAAACACTTAGTTTTTTTTAATTAACTGTTGAGTGTGAACCTCTGTGGTCTCCAGAGACCCCCTCTCATCCTCATGATCATTTATCCTCTTCTGCAAAACTACTAAGAGTTTTATCTTTCTCAACCAAAACACTGGAAACTACACACTACATGCTGTTTCAAATAGGGATGGCGCAGCTCTGGACTTCTGTTTCCCACTGTCCTGGTTTTGCCCTGCGGGGGTGCTGACCTCTGTTAACTGTCATTGGCTTCTGGGACCTCTTTTAACAGTTTTATCTTTCAAGAATAAGAGTCTGGGCTATCTCCCTCGAAATACAGTACACATATTCTGGCTCACAAAGTAGCTTATCTGTCTGTTTCTCTCCACTCAGAAGAGCCTAGGAAGAACCTTCCACAGCAGTGTATTCCCAAATGTTAGGCAGTTTCCCCTCCTGAAAAACTGCTGACAAACCTAGGGAGGTCATGTCTTCCTACCCACCTCATACAGAGAGTCCCTGCGCTCATCTCCAAGGAAACCTCTGTCCCAAGAAATGATCTCCATCTCCTACTTCGGATTTCAGTTACTTTTCTGGTATTCTTCCAACTCCACAGTAACACATCTCACAGACTTGCGGCAGAATCTTGCCACAAGGTTATTTTTGTTTTAATTCATGAAAGTTCTGTCTGATAGAGACCCATGTGCTTCTTCACCTGTAACAGGCTCAGGAGCTCGTTTTCTCTACAGAGACCATGCTATCACCTTCCTCCCTCTCCCCACTCCCCCACCCTCCCACCCCCGTGATTCTGTAGTGCTCTGTTCTAAAACATTTCATGCTCCCAAGAAGCAGACCCCAGTCTTCTCAGGGTCTATGCTGACCCTGGTTAGCACCAGGTGGACATCAGGTTACAGACACCGGCCAAACAACTCTGAGGCAGGCAGGCCTGCTCCGGGCCACTACGGTCGAGATTAACCCTGATGCCTGTGAATGCCTCACTGCTTCATCAGTCTCGGGACAGGCTCAGCCTGGCAGCGCTAGTTCCCTGGCCTTTGCCCGGGCAGGCCCTGGGCCTAATTCTCTCTTGGGAGTTCCACTACCACTGGCCCCTTTCCACCCTCACACACACTCACTGCAGCCTAATCGACCAACCCGCTGACTCTCAGCAGGTCTATGATTTTGAAAATCAAACTTGTCGTCTCAGGTCTTTTGGAAGATGAAAGCCTACGTTTTCAGGCTGGGTAACTTCCTCATGACCCCAGGCCTCCACCCCCAACCTTGGCTGCATACAACCCACGGCCTCCGAGAGCCCAGAGCAAGTCAAGCGCAGCTGCTCAGGGTCAGCCGTTCTTGGAAAGCTGAGCACAGACACACCCCGGCTGCAGGAGTGGGCCAAGGGCCTCCTGTCTGGGCCCTGGTCCACTGCACCACACAGCTTCCTCCTTCCCTCTATTTTTATAATCTGCCCACTAAAAAAAAAAATTTTTTTTTCTTTTCTTTACACTGGACTCCTTGATTTTGCCAGTGAGGATAAAGGCTGCAAGCACCTGGTGTCTTTGTTCTGTGGCAGGGGTCCCCTGGGCTTGGGGAGGGGATGAGCGTTTAGAACCAGGTTTAGCAGTTAATTTTGTAACATTTTTTTCTTTCCTGAATTTGTTCATGCCTTTCTTTCCTAAATAAAGCGGGACTAGGAAACCAGGACGCGTGCATTTCTAAGCTCTCCTCTGCAAACAGCTGAGTTAAGACGTGCAGCATCGTTAGTAATCCAGTCGGCATCAGGCGGCAGCTGCGGCCCCGGCTGGGCCAGGCTGGGCTGAGCGCGCTCGGGCACGTCAGTCAGTCAAAACCAAAAACTCCATCCCGTGGAGGTCTGCTGCCTGCACAGCCACGGGGACAAGGAGGCTGGCTCTCCAGCTCCCTTTGGTTAGGATGCTAAGAACACTTTTGCCACGCTTTAAAAAAAGAGATCGTCACCCTCATGTGCCGGAAGCGTCCACACGCACTGAAGTTCCGTACCATTACAGCGTGGTGTCCCTCTTCATGGATGAACCCTTCTACACTTTGAACTGAAAGAAGAGAGAGATGCCGCGGTTGTTGGCTCTTTCCTACCAGCCTCTCCCTGCCCAGGTCTCAGCTGGCAACAATCCTTATTAGGCTTCTAGCGTTTATTTCAGGAGCACTTGCTGGGTTCGGCTTCTCTGCCAGCCCCCGTTATGCTGACTGCTATCACCTGTCCCGAGCATGTGCACCCAGGCCCTGTGGGTCCAGGACGTCAGCCTTTGTCAACCCTCTCCAGGATTCTGCTTTAATGCTCTGCCGTGACCAACTCATGCAGGGGGTGGGGGAGCAGCACCCAGCTCCCTGCAGAGTCAGCCCCTGAAGGTAGGAAGTGGAGTGAAAAGCTGTCACCTGTAGAATCTACTACAGTGAGGCAACGTTCACAGCCTGAGAAATGATGGTCAGAAAACTCAGGAGAAACTCTCTGGACCTTCAGAGGCTTCCTGCAGCAGGAAGCCAGCACCGCTCCACCTGCAGGGGCGCATCCACACGCACAGTACTTTCCTGTTTAGGGAGCTGCGTAAGTGACTGCCTTCTCTCTCGCAGAGCCCAGGCCTGCCAGCCCCCACCCCAGCCTGTGCACAGAACAGTACCAGCTTTCGCGCAAACGCCATGTGAACAAGAGGTAGTGGGGCAGGGGGCAGTGTGCCCCCACGGGGAGCACAGTCTCCACAGGGCCAGCTCCAGACTGCTCGAACAACAGACCTTTGTTCACACAGAACTTTCTAGGAAGCTTATCAGAACCGCCAAAAGAACTTGAGAGAACCATTGTTTTCTGAGCTCTGTGGCTTTAGATGCTGGACTTTAAAACCAAAAGCAGTGACAACATCTCATGTAAAAGCTCTCACGTCAAGATGCTCAGCTTTGCACGCCATGTCCTCCTGGAAAGGGACAGGACTGGACTTACCTGTGACACCACCAGTGACCTAGGCTCACAGGGAGCCTGCCCAGTGAACTGAGCTTCAGGAAAGGAGTGGGTGGTGTGTCAGACTCCAGGGTTCAATTTGGCCTCATATTGCACAGGTTCAAAGGACGCAACCATTTGGGGGGGTGGATGGGAAAGGAAGGAAATAAAGCTAGTGAGGAACGCACCCTGGCCCTCGGGTTAGTACACACTGCCAGGTAAATGGAAGAGAAGGTTTGGGGTAGCCGAAGGGAAAGTGAAGAGGCACTGCAATGCCAGATCTGAAAACCGTTCTGCATTCAGTCCACTGTCGAAGGACCCCCATCCCATTTCCTCTGCAGGAGCTCGCCCCCCAAGCCCTGGAAACAGGAAAGCTCTGAATCGGGCACTCACACCTCCTGTCTAGGCCAGCAACACGCAAGTTAACACTGACGGCCAGCGTCCCTAGCTGTGCTCGAGTTGGGCCTCGTTGTAGTCCATGATGCGGAGCTGGCCCACGCTGTCCGGCTTTGGGGCAGGCGGCAGCGGGCCATCAAGGGCTGGGGGGGGCCTGGCTTCCACACCCGAGTCTTTGCCCAGCTCTGTCTTTAGGGTCTCGGAAAGGCTGCCGACAGTCAGGCCGTCCTCGTCGCACTGGCTCTCGCTCTTGTTACGGAACAGCTCTCGCGCCTTCATGCCCAGAAAGCTCTCTGAACTGGGAAGCGAGCCCACGGTCGCGGGGGTGCCGGAAGCGGGCTCGCCCACCGCCGTCTCCCACCGACTGCTGAAGGGGCCCGCCCTGGGGTTGGGGGGTTTCTCTGGGGTAGAGAGCTCACTGCTGCTGCCGCCGCCTCTGCTGCCACCACCGCCCCGGGCGCTGCTGGGCCTGGGGGGCTTGGTCTCACCGTTACGGCCAGGGGCCTCTTCGTTGTGCCCTGTCACCGAATCCGAGCAGCCGTCCTGACAGTAGTCAAGCCTGTAAGAAATCGAGGGGGAGGAAGAGGATTGGTGGCTGCGGCGTCCAACCACTCCAACCCCACCAGGGAGGCGTGGGGTCACACTGCCATGTGCTCATGCCGACGGGGAGCTCCACCGGCCGGCTCTGTGTCCTAGGACAGAGGACGCACACATGAGAGCGTGTGAACATCAGACGGCGATCTTAAATAGAAATGCTCCCTGGGACCATCACTGAGCGACTCGGGGCCCAGGACAAGGAGCAGAGGACAGCCAGGCCCTCAGGGACGCAGCTCAGAGCTCGTAGGCTGGGACCTCCCGACACAGCCACGGCTGCCGACTTGGTTCCTACCTTTCCTCCGCTGCTTCCGCTGCTTCCGGTTTCTGTTCTTCAAGTTTTCTCAGGAGGCCATCCTTCTCCAACTTGCCATATAAATCTAAGATCTCCAATTCGAACACCTGGGTGATCTTCTTCTGGGACTCATACCTGCTCTCTGCAGCCTGCAGCTGTCCTCTGAAAGACAAGGACCGCCCCTCAGAGTGTAGGAGGTTCTACTCAGTAAATACATCACAGCAAAAACCTCTCCCCGCCAAAGTTACCTTGCCTGGAGTTTGACATCCTCTAAATACTTTTTCTGTTCTAAAAGAAGGTGGTCTTTCTTAGCCAGATGAGATTCCAGTTCCAAAATCCGTTTCTGACAGGTATCAAGTCTCTGATTCTGCTGGAGGACATGGCTCCTGTTTTTTTCTAGCTCTTTCCGATATGCAGCCTTCATCATTTCTACTTCCTTAAAAAAAAAAAGGAACTGCAGTTAGTACTTTTAGAAAATGAACAAGCCATATCTACTTTGAAAAATCTATGTAACAAGCACTGAGAACATCGGTATACTGCTAGTGGAAACAGAAACTAGTTGCAACTTTCTGGAAAGTAAGTGGGCAGGAAGTATTAACCAACTAATCCTTTCCTGAAATCTAACCCTATGGAGATTATCTGAAACAGGAATACATATTTTGGCACAAAAATAACCATCACAGGATATTTAGAAGAAAAAAAGACTAGAAACATTGTGAAGTCTAATGGTAAGGAAACAGTTAAGTAAATTAAAATACATCTTCAACAAATTTTTAAAATGATATATATCAATAAAAGACTATAAAAGCCATGTGTATGGTATGGTCAATTATGTAAATATACACATCTGACAACATGCCAATATTCAGTTACAATCTCAACATGGTGGTGGTACTGACAGAGTCAACTCCTAGGCAGATTGATAAGAAGTCCGGGGTCCCCGAGGAGAAGAAAGGGGTCTGGGGTTCTTGAGGAGAGAGTGGTCTGGAATTCTCAAGGAGGAGGAAAGGACAAACTTTTTCTTTCTCTACATTCCTTAGTCTTAGTCACATAAAACGTTTTTTTCTTTAAGCCTCAAACTGATGATTACACAACAAACAACTCAGCTGAAGCTCTGCACTAGGGATTAAACAATGTATCCTGTTTGAGGACAGTTTCTCCTTCCTGAAAGCCTTCTGACTAATCCTGGTATTTTAGAATGTATATTATGAGAGTACATCTGGTAGGATCTTTCTGTTGTTAAATTCTAATCCTGTTATTCTAAAATGTAAAATGTGGCAGTGGGTCTGGTAAAATGCTTACAACCTTGAGACATTCCTTTGATTTAATTGTAATAACCAAATAAAAAAGTATGTAACTCGCTTGCTAAGATTAGCAAGGGGTTTGCACTGCATCCTGCTTCTGATGTCTATGTCAGAGGCTTTCTTGGTCCCTCTTCACACTTTAATAAAACTCTGCTACACAAAAGTTCTTGAGTGATCAAGCCTGGTCCCTGGTCCCGAAGCTAAATCTTCTTCAGAGATCATGAATCCAACACCATTCACCGTAAGCTGTCACCATGCTGTGGGTTGTTCTTTCCTGCTCCCCGCTCTCTCCTAACATCGGCTAAGATCAAGCTAGCAACGCAAGGTGAGTGACCAGATTTGCTCGGGCAAGGCAGCATCTGCAGACCAAACACGCACGTGAGGCCTGTCAATCGTGCCAGGAAGACAGCCTGCCTACTGACTGATGGCAGCAGCAAGGGTACACTGGCACTCGGAAAAAGAGGTGGAGAGGACACTTCTCTAACAAGCATGTGCTGCATTTGTGTGGTGTGTTGTTTTTTTTTAATTGTGGTAAGATAAGCTTAATATGAAATTTACATTGGTTTTTTTTTAAAGGAGCAAGGAGATGAGCATCCCAGAAGGCACTTCTGCCTTGAAGATGACCAGCAAGTTTAATGCCTCCTCGGTCAGAAGGGGATGGAGTCAAGCTCAGGACTGGGACTGGATAATGTGGCCATTCCAGTTATGGTCAAATGGCTCCAGACTTTAGCATAGGGTAGTGAACAAACTAGCTCAGCAGTAAAGAACCTGCCTGCCTATGCAGGAGACGTAGGTTTGATCCCTCAATGGGTGGGGAAGATCCCCTGGAGAAGGAAATGGCAACCCACTCCAGTATTCTTGCCTGGGAAATTTCATGGACAGAGGAGCCTGGCAGGCTACAGTCATGGGATCACAAAGAGTTGGACACGACTGAGCAACTAAACAACAAGTGAAAAAACTGAACTTGTCATAAAAGACAGCAGTTACTTATGGAACCTCAAAGGAATGAACTTGAAACATCCATGCGTTAGCACTAACCCTCACAGCCATTAAGAGGGGCTACAACCAATACTTAACAGTCATTCCCCACCTGAGGCTAGATACCCACTCCTCCTCCTCAACTTGACTAAACAAAAGGAAGCCCAGCTCCAGGCCAAGAGGTGAGTTCAAGGCAATAGCTGACTAGGGATGCGCACACAACATTCAGTTCAGTTTAGTCGCTCAATCATGTCTGACTCTGTGTGACCCCATGGACTGCAGCACGCCAGGCCTCCCTGTCCATCACCAACTCCCGGAGTTTACCCAAACTCATGTCCATCAAGTCAGTGAAGCCATCCAACCTTCTCATCCTCTGTCATCCCCTTCTCCTCCTGCCTTCAGTCTTACCCAGCATCAGGGTCTTTTTCAATGAGTCAGTTCTTCGCATCAGGTGACCAAAGTATTGGAACTTCAGCTTCAGCATCAGCCCTTCCAATGAACATGAAGGACTGATTTCCTTTAGGACTGACCTGTTTAATCTCCTTGCTGTCTAAGGGACTCGCAAGAATCTTCTCCAACACCGCAGTTCAAAAGCATCAACTCTTCATCACTCAGCTTTATGGTCCAACTCTCACATCCATACGTGAGTACTGGAAAAACCATAGCTTTGACTACACGGACCTTTGTCAGCAAAGTAATGTCTCTGCTTTTTAATATGCCATGTTGGTCATAGGTTTTCTTCCAGGGAGCAAGTATCTTTTAATTTCATGGCTGCAGTCACCATCTGCAGTGATTTAGAGCCCAAGAAGTAAAGTCTGTCACTGTTTCTCCATCTATTTGCCATGAAGTGATGGGACGGGATGCGATGATTTTAAGTTTTTTGAATGTAAATTTTTAAGCCAGCTTTTTTACTCTCCTCTTTCACCTTCATCAAGAGGCTCTTTAATTCCTCTTCACCTTCAGCCATAAGGGTGGAGTCATCTGCATGTCCGAGGTTATTGATATTTCTCCCTGCTATCTTGATTCCAGCTTGTGCTTCATCCAGTCCGCTGTTTTGCCTGACATACTCTGCACATAAGTTAAATAAGCAGGGTGACAATGTACAGCCTTGACGTACTCCCTTTCTCAATTTGGAACCAGTCTGTTGTTCCATGTCTGGTTCTAACTATTGCTTCTTGACATGCATACAGATTTCTCAGGAGGCAGCTAAGGTAGTCTGGTATTCCCATCTAAGAATTTTGCAGTTTGTTGTGATCCACACAGTCAAAGGCTTTAGCACAGTCAATGTAGTAGATGTCTTTTGGAATTCTCTTGCTTTCTCTATGATCCAACAAATGTAGGCAATTTGATCTCTGGTTCTTCTGCCATTTCTAAATCCAGCTTGAACATCTGGAAGTTTTCGGTTCACATACTGTTGAAGCCTGGCTTGGAGAATTCTGAGCATTACTGGACACAGAACATAACCTTGGCCAGTAAGAAGGGTGGGAGGTTGGGTGGGACTGGTTTCCTGGATGAGAGACCTGTAGGCAGTGATGTTCTCCTCTTCCTTGGGACATCATGACATTACCTTTGACAGTATTAACTGGGGCACACACCTTGCAACCAGGAGCACAGGTTGACAGGATAAGGTTGGGTGGTGCAAAAGAGCAGAAAGAACCGGGTTCCTTGATGCCGTCCCTCAACAACTGACCCTACCAACCTGGAACTCACCTGCTTCGGACTTCTTGTCAAGCTAAATGACGACACTCTTTACAGTTAAGCCAGTGAAGTCTTTTTTTGTTACAAGTCAGTGTCACCATGCCCCTTTTATGAACTGAGGTCAGGGGGCCTACTCGAAGTCCCAAGTGTTTAAGTGTTCCAATTGGAAGACAGCACCACAAAGGCCAACCCAGCCACACTTCCCTCAGGAGATGTTAGTGCATTTAAGTCAGCTTTATCAGATGTCCTCTAGTCCCTCAGGCCTGTTTCCCCTTCTTTCTTCCTCCAAGGCCATTATACCTTCAAAATAAGTGACAGCTGGTTTCTAGAGACACTTACACATTTAACATTTAAGCGAGTCTGAATCTGAGTTGAGAGAAGCTGAGAAATAAGGAGTAACTCCTACGAAAATTACATCTCTCTGGTTCTGAGACTACTCCCTTTATTTGGCAAAAAAAAAAAAAAAAAAGGTTTACAAAGCACAAGCCCAAGAAACCTCAGAGAATGCCTATGTGTGATGGAGAAGTTACTGACAGAAAGCATCTAAGCATTTACTCCTAAAATTCCATCCCAACTCACTCACTGATGTTACCCTAGGCTATCTACAAAGTGACATAAAACTTCTGCCTCGACACCACTGGTGAGGCCTTAATTAATGGGAGATCATCCAGATGCTGGCCTGGTTGCCAGGACTGAACCACCATCTGCTGAAATTAAATTCAGCATCATGAAGGAGAGAAAAATATGTATAGCAGTATAAACCCACATCCCTGAGAGCGCTACACTAAACAGAACTGGCTTCCCCAAGCTATTTAATTGTCTGTCTGTCTGTCTCTCTCTGTTTCAAGAGAGCAAGGGTAAGAGAAGGGACACAGTTTCATCACCTACTCTGTCCCAATTACCATCAGGTGCTTTCACCTGTGCCTGACTTAATTTTGAAGCGGCCCACTAGGGGAAACAAGCTCATGTGACAGCTGAAAGGAGCCTGTGTTGCCAGGCCAGGGAGAGGTGGAAACGACCCTAGGGCTGCCAGACACTTTCTAGGAAACTGTTCATAAGCCGTTCTCTAGCCTGTGCCACAGACACACTGCCTGGGTCGTAAGAGCATCCCAGGCAGGGTCTGGCTCCCGAACCCACATACCTTGGTGGTGTCTGAATGCTTGTTCTGCAGCTGTTCCAAATACAGCTCGTTGACTTCCCCAAGAACCAACAGTTGCCTGTTCAAGAACTCCATCTGCTGTTGGACCGACTCACTATTTGAGAGCTAACCAAAACAAAGAAAGAGGCAAAGGGAAAGAGCTGAGCACACAAAGCCAGCAAAGGGGCAGGAAGCAGGGAAGCAGCTGGCTATTCAGGGCTGGCCCACTGTATACAGCACAGTGGCCAGTGGGGATGGCCAGGGGCAACAAAGATGGACAGAAATGCACTTCAAAACTGTCCGTCTGCAAAGGGGAAGAAGTGCAAATGCTCCATGTCAAAACTGGCCACCTACAGGACACCTACAGGAGATGGGTGCGTATACAACCCCACAGCAGGGATGTTAGGCTCAGGGGAATAAAGTCTCAGAGAAAACCCACCAGTTCTTTTTCTTTTTTAACTTATTTTTATTTTTTGGCCACAATGCCCAGCATTCAGGATCTTAGTTCCCTGACCAGGGGTTGAACCTGTGCCCCCTGCCGTGGAAGCGCAGAGTCTTAACCAGTGGACCGGAAGGAAGTCCCCCCACTGGTTCTTGAATAAGCAATTTATAGAGAGTGCAACGACTCCCAGAGAGGAAAAGATCGTGGATCAAAAAGCTGAATGAACTCTTCCCGTTTATGTGAACAAGTATTGAGGAGGAGTTCCTGGGGCTCAGGCTGGGCGGCTCCCTGCTGCAGGGCTGTCCGCACGCCGTCTGATATTTAGGGGTGCCCTGCCTGCCCGCTCCATGTCAGCAGCATCAAGGATGTCAACCACAAATGTGTGCAGACACTGCCCAGGCCCTCTGGAGGAGGGGAGGCCCTGACGCGGACGCACAGGCGGCACGCGTGTCCCGCCTGGGGGGAGCGGCCCTCACCTTCTGGGACACCTGGCTGAGCAGCAGCTCCGTGTGGCACACCTTGTTGTTGGCCTTCTTCAGCTCCACGCGCAGCTCCGCGATCATGTTCCTGCAGTCCGCCAGCTTCGTCTGCCAGAGACACGGGCCAGGGAGTCACACACGGGGTGGTGGCGGGTCGGGCCACGGGGCGCCCGGCCCTCAGCCCACAGTCCAGGGAGAGCTGGGAGAGCCTCAGGCCTTAGCTGCTCTACTCTTCCTGGGCCATCACATTTAAACCTAACTTCTTAGTTTTAAAAAAGGCAGTTACAATTTCTGAGTGATTAACAAAAGGAAAAAAAAACAAAAACAAAACCACCTTAAGTCTGCAGTTCCCAAACTGCACGGAAGAGCCCCAGGGCTACACAGCAGGCTCACAGGGGCGCTGCGGGGCTAGTTGTAAATTTTGAGGGAGACACAGCGACATCTGTTGGTAATGATGTGAACTACTAGTTGGAGGCAGCTCAGGGCTTGAGTGTCAGCTCTTGTGTGTGCTTTTAGGTGGTTGCTGATAAACATCACCGTGAGGAAAGCAATGTGAAACAGGAATGGAGGGCATCAGTGTCTCATGACTCCAAGGTCTGAGACTCTCTGCAGCGCAGAGAGTACACTCAGCATTAGGAAGTAGCTGTGGTTATTCAAAAATAAAACTGAAAACTGAAAAAAGAAATGCATGTGTATTATTTTCAATTTTTTTTCTTCTTCAAATTGCTAGGACCCCAAGTCCAAATTGTTTGGATCTCCTTAAGAAGCAGAACTTTCAGGTGTTTCTTTCAGCTGTGGAGCACCAAGAAAAAATTACTGAAATGCTAAAAGAACTGTGACCTCCGAAAGCCAGGGACCCTCTGCCCTTAAAGAGCACCCGACACAAAATCCAGCTGCTGTGACTTCAGAGATGAGCCGGGGCTTTCACGCCCTCTTCGGCCGTCTCTGTAGTTCGTACCTGTAGCTCCTGGCTCTGGTTGTAGAACTCCTCCCGGTCGTGCTGAAGCTGTCTGATCTGGCTATGCAGCTGGGTGACCACCGTGTCTCGCTGCTCCTGAAGCTGACTGTACCTGGCTTGTTCTTTCTGAAGACTAATCTTCCATATCTGGATGTCTTTCTCTTGCAACTTCAACTGGTCTTTCTAGCAGACACCAAAGATGCCATCATTTTAGCTGCCTTCCAGCCTGGGCAGTGATGCTCAAGTTCAAAGCACACTGCAGACATTTCACCTGAACAGTCACGAGCTAACCTGAGGCTGTAACCGCAGACCAGGAACCTGCCAGCTCACTGCTGTCTAACTTGGCTTTTGGTCAAGGGTTTCCAAATTGCACATTAGCAACTGGATCAGAAGAGGCTTAAAGAACTTTTCTCAGCCATCAGCCTGCTCCCAATACTTTCAGAAGTCCTAACCGCCAGCACTGGACTTCTCAGGTGGCACCAGTACTAAAGAACCCACCTGCCGAAGCAGGAGACGTAAGAGACGCAGGTTTGATCCCTGAGTTGGGAAGATCCCCTGGAGGAGGGCATGGCAACCCACTCCTATGGACAGAGGAGCCTGCTGGGCTACAGTCCCTAGGGTTGCAAGGAGTCAGACACCACTGAAGCAACTCAGCACACAGCCACCAGTGCTGACGTGAGCAGTGGTACTGGCCAAGGTCACTAAGGTGACAGATACTGGATTCCCGCCCTGCCCTGCACTGGGCCGGTGCTCTTTGCATCCCCAGTTAAGGAGGAGATGTTGCTATCACTACTCTCATTTTCCCTAACGGGTGGCAGGGGCCTCCAGAGGCTCCATTACTTTCCTAAGGTAACTGGGCGGGGAGGCAAGGTCATGTCCAGCTCTGCCTGGCTTCACCACGCTCCCCACCCCCCACGAGTTTTTGTCATGAGAGCTGCGTCTGGAGAGCTAGTTTTACATCTGGAGAAACAAAATCACCTTTTGCCTCTACTATCATTACCGCCGATTACAGACCAACAAACACCAAAAATCACTTGTCCCCACTGGTGCCAAGAGCTGCAAGGGAATGCGGGGATGCAACCCTTCACGGGCTGACCCCCAGACGCCGGTGGGTGGGGCCAGACGGAGAGCCCACCCCCGCCCCGCCCCGCCCCGCGGGGCTCACCATGGCAGCGTTGTGCTCCTCCAGAGCCGCGGCCCGGATCACCTTGCGCAGGAGCCGCCTGTTGCGCAGCGCGTGCTGCTGCCGCTTGAAACGCTCGTAGAGTAACTGGTTGTGCAGTAAAAGCAACTGGTTACGGAGGGTGCGGATCTCATCTGAGGGAGGAGAGCCTGATTTTAAAGCAGAGGGAGGATGGCAGAGATGCCTTTTACATGTTGTTCAATCGAGGCCCCGCCCAGAGATTAACGCAATTCTTGAAGGAAGAAGTCACTCGCTTTGCCAATGACCACCTGGCTCCCAGTCAGTCGCTGGGGGCTGCAGGGGCTGGGGGTGGGCAGTGCTTACTACCTATCTCCCTTTGAAAGGAACACAGAGGGAGGGGCATGAGGCAGGATGCCTGAGAGCCCTGTGTATCTCCCCACCTATCTGGAATATGATTATATGTGTGTCTACTCAAGACTCTTTCCCATGCTTCACAGTATCTTCCTACTACCCCTCCCTTCACCTGGATCTTTTCTAGGGAGAAGCCTGGCGTGAGGGCTGCCTTCCTGCGCTTCTGCTCTCAAGCACTGGGCTCCTTGCTACTCTTCAAAAATAGGAAATGCTGACTTTGCAACACGTGAGCTACTATGTAGCCAAGCAGATAACCCAGCTGGAGCCATGGGAAGGGGCACCTCCTTCAAGGACAGAAAGGGCCACCAGCAGGCAGGATCCCTGCCAGCTGGATTTGGAGCTGAAGTAACAACTTTACCTCCGAAGTGGGTCCAGTCAACAGACTTGCTGGGTAAAGACAACCTAGGAAGAAAGTTGCCAAGTAACAAAGTTACCAATCTCAGCTGGAAAAACTAGGCAGATCACTTCTCTGTGGTCACAAGCCAGGGGCATGAGACAGTTTCAAACTTGAAGTCCACTGGAGACAGAGGGGGTCACAGTCCCCAATAAGCATGACCAAGACTCCAGAATGGAAAGACCCCTAACTCAGAGCTCACACTGCAGCCTGTGTATGCTGGGCGGCTCTTCACAGCAATGAGAGATCAAACACACTGGGCACTGTTTTCAACCCTCCCTGCTGCCATACACAGGCTCTCTGCTGAGAAGCTACAGTCCTCCAGGTTAAGGACACAGAAGATGATTTACCTGAGTCTACTACACTAGAATTCATTCAAGCAAGACCTTAACCAGGACAGTTATCTGTCAAATTCCACTTGGGTTATTCTGCAGAAGAAAAATGAAAGCCCTCACCCCCTAAGAGCCTGTTTAGGAACGACATTACTGTGGATAGTGATTCTCTTATCCTTTCGTAGGTCACCTTTGAAAACCATAGTAAAAGAAGGGCTGAAAACAGCCATTCAGAGGGGTTCTTAACCCATGTGTGTGAGCAGGAAGTGGGGACAGGCCACCTTGACCTTGCACTGAAATGTTGATTTTATTTTCCATCTAATGGGCTACGGTACCAAAACAGAACAACAAAAAATCTGTAGCTGGAGAAGGTGACTTTGTGACCAATATTTCTGTATTATTTGAATACCACAGGCTCATCCTCAAATGTCGGAGAGCAGACATGAAAGCATTTACGCTTGCTCACAGCACAGGAGGGTCTATGTAGAGAAGACTCATTTCTCACTGGCCCGTTCTCTAAGGAATGACCTGAGGGCAACATGCACAGAGGACACGCACATTCGTAGGTATAAAAAGGCAACAAGCTAGAAGGACGCCCGACAAGTCGTAGAACCAGCTACCTCTGGTGAGCACACGGAGAGGAACTCCTGCCTCCAACCACCCGCTTCCTGCAGCTCCTAACCGAGTGGCAAGTGCGAGACCAAGCCCGCGCCCGGGCCTCACCTGCTGAGCTCCTTGCTGTGCACGTCGGCCCCCTGCTGTACCAGCCTGTCCAGCACCTCCACGGGGGAGGCGGAGGGCGGGACGTCCTCTTCTGCGCCTCCCTTTGCCTTCTTCAGCAGCTCCTCCGTCTTCTTGCTGACAAAATGATGGGCAGTCTTTGGCAATGCCACCTCAAAAAGATGATCGTACGGGGGAGGCTGCCCACTGCCAAACCCCACTCCCCTCTGAGGTGGAATTTTACAGGGGCTGGGGGTGAGGATGCTGGCCTCCAGGGAGGCCTGGCGCTCCCTGTTCCCGGCAGGGCTCTCCCCGGTGCCTCCGCAGGGCAGGTCTATGGGCGTGAAGGCTTGCTTTGGTGTGTCAGGCCCCGGCTTGTCCAGGGAGGAGTTTAAAGGCTCAGAGTTCGCACTGGTGCCCTGAGTGCTGGAGGAGGCTGAGAGGGTCTTCCGCGGGCAGCCCGGCAGACTGTCCCGGTAGAAGGGCGAGTCGAAGCCTCCTCGAGGAACCAGGGGCTCGGCATCGGCCGTTGTGATCTCAGACAGCTCTTTAGATATGGCCGCTGCAAGGAGGGAGGAGGGAAGAGATGGCGCATCCGGGTCAGGATGGGCAGTGTAGGGCTGTGTGCTGCCCTGTGCTACCCAGAGGGACGAGGCCAGGGCTCAGAACAAAACTCCCATCTCCCTCCCCCAAAGGAAGAAAAAGCAGGCACTCCTGTGCATCTTGATATTAAGTCCTGGTTTTCAGGCAGAATGAGGGTTTTATCAACGTGCAGCATCTCACACAAGCCCAGAACCCTGCACACATTACCTTCTTCTTTATCCTTCTCAATACTGTCTTCTTCAGAAGCCAGGTCTCCTAAAAACCCTGGAAGGTCACTAAGAGTGACAGATCCCTTGCCTCCGTGAAGCTCTTCTAAAGAGAAAACAGGACAAATAGGCTGGAGAACCCCCACCGTTAGAACTGCACACACTGTGACAGAACAGGCCCACCCTGACTCTCCTGCTGAAGACAACGGTGAGACAGCTCTCTTCTGGAGCTCCCAGAGCCAAAAGGTTACAAGGATCCAATTCAAAGTACCACAGAAGACAAAACTCTCCATTCTTTCTTAACATCGCAGAGAACAGATAAAGCCATGGTTTGATCGGCTCAAGACACATACTTAGCAGCTTTTACCGGATGCTATTATGAGGTTGGCTTTTAGAATTAATTACATGTTTCATTATCTCTGTGTTTCGTGGTGCTCTGGAATTTCCCTGTTTCCACACTATAACCCAACCCATCAAGAGTCAAGCAAGGTCCAGAGGCCTTACCTAATCCTCTGTCATTCGGAAGATGGGGTTGTCTGTGTAGACAGGGCCTTGCAGAGTCTGTTCTCTCTTCCTGAAAAGACAGGTACCATTTATATATCACAAGGCAGAAAATTGTGTGCATGGTCTCTACTGCTAGAGAAATATACTAAACTCCTCAAATTTTAGTATATTATAAAGGAGTTTAAAGTTTAGCCCAGTAGTTCTCAAACTGGTGTCAGGACGCCTTTCTGTTCTTAAAAATGACTAAGAATCTCGAGGATTTTGTTTATGTGGCTAAATCTATTGAAAATTACCACGCTAGAAACTAAAACAGAATTTTAAAAATATTAATTCACTTAACAAACCCAGGAATTCCCTGGCGGTTCATCGTTAGGACTCCGTGCTTTCACTGCTGAGGAGGTGGGTTCAATCCCTGGTCGGGGAACTAAGATCCCACAAGCTGTGCAGCATAGCCAGAAAAATACCCAACCCAATACATTTAAACATAAATGACCTATTTCTATGAAACATAACCATATTTCCCAAAACAAAGGTAAGTTCAGTGAGAAAGGTCAAGTGGTTTCACATTTCTGCAATCTCTTTCATATCTAGCTTAATGGAAGGAGGCTGGGTTCTTATGGCTGCCTCTGCTCTGCTGGGTTACATGTTATTCTGGCTAAAGCATAGGAAGAAAACTCCAGGCCCCCACGGACAAGCAGTTATAAAAAGCAGAAAGATTTTTTAGATAATTGCAGAAAACCATCTTTGATATTACTCTAAAACTTGACAACAGTATTTTGTCTTCAAGGTTAGTCATGGAGCAGAACCTGAAGCCATGGCACTTCACTCTTCACACTATGTTAAGTAAGATCCACTGGTGTCCCTTGCCCCTCAAAGGTTATTACCTACATGTGGGTCTTTGACATCACACACAAGGCAGGCAGAACACTGGCTCACCAAGCTGTGCATATCTTCTAAGTGTTGAAACATTTCATTACATGATATCAAAAACTCAAAACTTGGGAACCAAGTTTCCCAAGACTTTTCGATCTCGTCATGAAAGATTCAGGGGCACTATCAAGCACTTGGTGGCAGATACCAGTTTTTTAATATTCTAATTGCACCTTTTTATCATGGACAACAAAGACCGTCAGTTGTTTATCTTCGAGTAACAGATCCAGTTTGTCATCTAAGAAGCTAACTGCCTGCCAAATATTCAAGTCTGAGTAACCATGGTTTGTCGCCAGTTATTCTTTCAAATAAGACTGCAGCTCCATAAGACAGCAACTAGTTCAACTCTTAACTCCAATAATGTCACAAGCGCTTATGGAAACCACCACATGTTGGTATGCACTCAAACTGCTTTTTGTCTACTTCCTGTTTTATCACAAACAATATTAAACACGTGGGTTCTTTCTACAGAATACTCAGTGTTGGCACTTTTTGGGGGGGGGGGGGGGTTGTTGCTTCTTCTGCTAAACTGAAAGAACACATCAAGGAAGAAGAATGCAACACCACTAGAAGAGTTCAATTTTGTACCAAGGGGCCAGCCATCTTACCCATCACTGTTTCTATGCCATGAGTATAAATGCCAATGCAGAAAAAAGGGGCAAATAACCACATATGAGTAACTGTGAAAGCAGATCTGCCCTGGCAGAGTCTCTTAGAAGGTCTGGGGACCCGCAGGGTCAGCAGACCACATTCTATGAGAGCTGCTGATTGGTCTATTTTCAATTGATCTGATTCAAACCCACTCCATTTTAGGTCAGACTTCTAACTGGCATAAAAGGTTTCCCAAAATGAGGCTAGAAGCAAGTCTTCGTGCATTGGCGAGGGGACAGCAGACAAGCCCAGCAAACCTTCTTGGGGGCCGTGGCCTGCGGGAGTGAAAGGTGCACGTAGTCGTCCGAATGGCAGGGTGGGGCTGGAGGAGGAGAGGTTGCAGGGGTTCCCAGAGGAGTTCCTTTCCCACCTGCTCCAAGACAAGAGCAGAACACGCACACAAACACACTGTCAGTTTAACGATTAGGAAAACTGCCACTTTCTTTCTTTCCCAGCCTAACTAGTACTGCAAAGAAAGCTGCTACACTTCGCTTTCTAGAGAATCTATATCAGTCTGTCTTTTTTTTTTTTTAGGCTCACTTTTAACTTCTGAAAGTTCCAGGCATTTGTATTAAGCATCAAAACTAGCTTTCCTGCTGCAAGAGGCTCTCAAACTCTTAGATCTTAGAGGAGACTGTTCCTTATCATAACAGGCAGGCCCAAACCAATCAGCCAAACCTAACGTAAGCCATACATACCAGCTGTACCAAAGATTTTGCTGTACGGGTGTGACAGATCAGGCGGGACGTTTCCAGGAGAAGTTGGAGGGGTGGTCATCCCACAAGCCGCAGATGGGCTCCAAAGAGTAGCCTGGGAAGTTAACAGGCAGGTCAGCAAGGAGCATCAGCCACCGCCGCCGCCCGAGGCACAAGCCCGTGACCAACCATCATTTTAAACCTAGCCTTTCGACTGGGAAACGGATCTTACTAAAGCTTTATCAAGAGACATGTTGCATTTTCTAAGTCTAGACGCCAAAAGAAAGCCAAGTGGCAACAGTTAACTTTCTCTGCAAACATGAGGCATCCTTGAAACTAACTCCTGAAACAAGCAGTGAGAGTTTCCCAACCGCAGGCTGAGCCCTGACCCCGAAGGCCAGCTTCACCAGCGAGCAGAGAAGAAAGCAGGCACACTAGATGGCAGCGTACTTGAGGCGGCTCAGCTAACAGCCGTGTCGACGGGGAACTCAGAGTCTGAGGTAGCTGCCCTGGCGTGTTTAACGTCAGCCGAGAAGTGGAGTAGGGAGTGGAAGTAGCATTCCCTACAAGGGAAGGGAAAGAACACACGGGGTCAGTGTGGGGCTCCAGTCATTCTGACAAAGAACTATGGTCCTCGAGACCATCTGACAGCATTCAGTTCCCCGCATTTAAAAAGGCTGAGGGGACTCCTAATGCCCATGGGTATAAAGTAGCATTTAGAAGGCTCTTTATAAGACCCTTTTGGAGAAGGAAATGGCAACCCACTCCAGTATTCTTGCCTGGAAAATCCCATGGACAGAGGAGCTTGGCAGGCTATAGTCCATGGGGTCGCAAAGAGTCAGACATGACTGAGTGACTAACACTTTATAATACTCTTTAGCAATAAAGTTCACTAAGGTTTGATGTCTCATTAAGCTTCAGAATAGCTTGAAAAAGCACAACTTGTATGACAATTTCAGCCGATGCTACCTGTGGATAAGCCTAGTCTTTTATTGACTCCAATTGTCCAGATTCATTCAAAACCATGTCAGTGTGACAGCCCAGGGGGCCTCACTGAAGGCATCTGAAAAAGGAGATGCTTCCTTTATAAGCAGGAGCCTATAAGTCATACCTTTCCAACCATTTTCTTTGCTAAGTGTTGAGGACACATCTCAAGTCTGCTGACATACTATCAAGGTGGAGATCAAGGTCATAAGATTGTGAATTAAACTTAGGGGAGAAGTTAATCAGGAGAAAACGGAGACAAATCCAAATTTTAAGTATTTGGGAAAACAGTTCCTAGGAGCTCAACTAAGCCTTATTGTAGGAAAAGAAACTAAAGTTAACAATAAACAATGCTTTCCAGAGACAAAGTTGTAAAGAGATAAGTACCAAAGTCACTTTTTACCATAGCTATTCTGTGTGTCAACATAAGAGCTGGCGGAGACATCGGCTGAACGATGAGGAAAACGGGCTGAGATTTGGTGAGACACAGAATAGCCATCTTCATATGAGGCTTCTGTAGGGTCCAGAGAGATTTTGGCACATTCTATGACAACATCGTGTGTTTCTAATCTCTTCCACCTGTAGAAGACAATCAAGTCAAGAAATGCAAGTTATAATCCATTTAATCAAACCATCAAATACTTCAGAGTGCAGACTCAATGCCAGTCACTGAACTATGACCAGCAAAGAACAAGGCAGAACCACCCCAGCCCCAGTACAAATTAGCACTACAATAAAAGGAATTAGCCATTCATTTTAAAAACCTATAGTGGTGGTGATTTAGTTGCTAAATTATGTCCAGGTCTTGTGACCCCTTGGACTATAACCCACCAAGCTCCTCTGTCCATGCAACTTCTCAGGCAAGAATACTGGAGTGGGCTGCCATTTCCTTCTCTAGAGAATCTTCCCAACCCAGAGATTGAACCCCGGTCTCATGCATTGCAGGAGATCTCCAGTACTGCAGGTGGAGTGAGCCACCAGGGAAGCCTTACAAACCTATGCCCTATTTAAAACGGTTGTATCAAATCACCAGAAACTAAACTGAAACCAAAGTTTCAGCAACAGGAGACCAGGCATAGCCTCAAAACAGAACACAGACTATGCACAGCAGTTAGCAGGGGACTCTTCTTTGGAACAAAAATCATCACAGAAGAGGGGGACATGGAAACTGCCAGGCAGCTGAGGCTGACTTAAGGTCTCCCATCAAAGCCTCAGGATTCTAATCCATCCCCAGACCAGAAATACAGATCAGCAAGTCTCAAACCCAGAGAAAGCCCATGAGGATATTTAAAGAACTGTCTCAAAGTCCTGCTGTCTGATCCAGAGTTCCATGTCTAAGGAATCAGCCTGTGGAAACAGACACATATCAAGATGGACAACAACAGTCTGCACAGCTTGTCACAGAAGAAGAAAAGAAACAACCTAAGGTCCAACCAGAGTCTACAGAAAATTACCCCACCATGAAAAAGCATGCTTTTGGCAGATCTATGATTGCCAGAAGTGGGAGAGGACACTGACCACCGAGAGTATGAAGGAACTTTCGGGGCTTTAGCTTCCAGCTAAACTGTAACCCTACCTCCATACTTCTAGACATCAACTATTAACGTCCTTATGGTAGGTGAGCATTTAGGTCACTTCCACAGATCCCTTTCCCTCCTCCCCAGTGCTCTCAAAATAACAGATCGCTGTTTTGTTGTTTCTAAATTGATTTTGAACAATTCATTATAATGACTAGATCAGTACCACTCACAGCTGAGCCAAAGAGTATTCTGTAATATTTCCCTTTCTGTTCAATTCAGTTTCTCCTAGAGTTTAAATTTTTCTGTTTCTTTGCCTCAGTCTTCCATGTATCTAATACTAATCCTTCCTAAACTTGCTCTAACAGCTGGGGGAAAACACCTAATATAATTTTTACATAACAAAATACAAACCGTCTACCGAGACTGTTCACCTTCTCCTAAAGAGCTGCCTGCCAGAGCCCTCCCTCTCCTACTGGTTGTTCTCAGCACCACTACAGAAGTTATACCAAGACTTCTCTTGCCGAAGACCCTAAGTCAGGTCCCCCATTGCCTGGACTCTGTCTTCCTTGATTTTACTTTCATTTTGGTGAAGGACACGCTTCAATGGTTCACTAAAGAAGGGTACATAGGCGGTGAATTTGAGTCCCTGCATATCTGAAACTGTCTCATACTTGATAGGCAGTCGGGCTGGGAATAAAATTCTAAGTTGAAAACCTTTTTCTTCTCCATTTTGAAGGTGTTTCAGAAGCTAACCTCATTTTGATTTCTGATCCTTACTGTTTTTTTCCCTAAAATTTCACAATACTGAGGCTGGTAACATTCTTTTCCACTAACTATGCTGGGAACTACATAAACCTCTTCAACCTGGAAACTCACATCTTTCAATTCTATTGTTATATTTTCTTGTATCATTTGTACTTGTATTGGAAATTTTCTTCTATTATTTCTTTCACAATTTCTTCCCCCACCAAAGTTTCCTCCTCCACTTTTTATTGGATGTTAGACTTTCTGGACTGATTAAATTTCTTTCATCTAACTCATCTCTATCCTTTGATTCTGCTCTCCAAGATATCCTCAAATATACCCCCCAATTCTCTTATCAAAATGTTTATTTTAGCTACAGTTTTAAATTTTCAACACTGCTTTCTCTAGTCTCTTGCGTAGTATCCCAAACTTTATATATGCACTAACATCTCATCTCTATTGTAGAAGTTCTCTTTTGCTCTCTGCATCATCATTGTTTCTTTCAGCTCCTCTATCTCCTCTTTACACTGGTCTCTTGTCTCTGGCGCTAGAACCTTTCTTCAAAGGCCAGATGACCTGCCTATCCAAGGTGAGTGAGGCTCTATAAGTTGAACCAGGAGACTTCCTAATTAACACAACAGACTGGATGTGTGCATCCAACTGCACAATGCCCCCAAACCCCACCAACATTTGTTTCCTTTTAACTATAAACCTACAAGAAAGACAAGAATGAGAAAACAGAGAACAGCACCACATGTGTTTGAAACCAGAAAGCCAAAAGTGACTGAGTGAGTGAATCCCAGAAAGCAGAATCCTAAGCTGCCAATGTTTCAAAGCTAAAAGTCAACCTGACTTATACTGGAGAATCCTTGAAAGGCAAAAGAACTTGTATACGTCAAGTATTTCTGGAAGTGGAGGTGAATGACAGGTCAATGAGGGCAGCTGAACTCAGGAAGACGGGGTAAATGCCGCCTGAGCCGAGATCCCACTCGGCTCTCCCAAATCTGTGCTCATTTCTGAAGAGGTTCAACAGAGTCTAGGGACTGAGGCACTCACCTCTTTGAGGGCGTGAGGGCTATTCAAACAAGAGGAGTTCAGTGAGCATGTACATTCTGAAGGCCAAGACCACTCCTCTCTCCCACCAAGCAGTCTCTACTCTCCAGAAGTAGCCCAACTCTTGTAGACCAGAGATCAGAAGACCCTTTTCTGAAAAAGTCTGACCAACTCAAAAGGAAACCAATATTGATATCAGTATCTCCTACAGATGCTCAGAACCTATAAGAAACCACAGAGTCAACAAGCCCCATCCTTGTGAACAGAGTCTTTCAGTCTCCTCATCCAAATACAAGTAGATCACCAAAGACAAGCAGGTCCAAATACAAGCAGATCACCAAATACAAGTAGGTCCAAATACAAGCAGATCCAAATACAAGCAGAAAAGCCTCAAAATTTTAAAAAGCACAGCAGAGCAGTTTAGAGAAAACAGACTACACAGGAAAAAGAAAACCTTAAAATAAAACTCCCATTAATCTCATCAAAAACGTGAGACTGCATCCATGTATGGCAAAAACCACTACAATATTGTAAAGTAATTAGCCTCCAACTAATATAAATAAATGAAAAAGAAAGAAAAAAAAAAAAAACAAGCTACAATTTTAAAAAATGGGAGCATCCAGAGAACTAAAAAGAGCTCTTCAGTACTGAAAACGTGGCAGAAATGAATACAGAAGGATTAGGAGCTAAAGACAATAAAATCTTTAGGAAGTAGGACAAGAGAGCAGAGAGAAAAAACAGGAGAGCAAAGAAAAGCAGAGAACCACTCCAGGAAGTCTCAATCAGAACATTAAGAGTTCTAGAAAGAAAGACGGAGATAGTCGAGGAAAAGAAATCAAGCACAATATATTTGCAGAAAATTTCCTAGCATTTAAAGATAAAAGCTTCCAGACTGAAAGATGAGAACAGATTCACGGCAAGGGACATCACTAGGAAGTTTGAGAGTATTCTGAGAGCAGAGAGAAGACAGTAAACACAGATGATCAGAAATGAGAATGTCTCTGGATTTCAACAGCAGCATTGGCGGCAAAGGAGCAATGGAATGATGCCTTCAAACTGAATGACTCCCAACCCAGACATGTGTACCCACGCAGAAAACAGCGTCCTTTCTCTAAAATCCCACGAAAACAGGAGTGAACCCAGAAAGAAGGCATGAGATAGAGGAAATGGGAGAACATGCACAGGTGAGAGGCACATGGCGGCCACGCATGAGGCACAGAAGATGACTGCTGAGATCAGAACGCATGCAGAGAGACAGGCGTGTGCAGGCCTCACTAAGGTTTCTGCTGCCACCGAACCATCTTTCCAACAGAGGGACAGAGCGTCTAGGTGACCCTGGCCTAGATAACTTGCTGGTACTTAGCTTGTCGTGAATGAACACACTAATGAATACACTAATGAAGTTCCTACTCTCCCTGGATTAGCTAAGGACGTCCATCTCATCCCACAGAAGGACTCTGCTCTGAGCTACACCCAGAAGCTGCCGCAGTGCACATGCGGCAGTCTCCACCCCCCGCCACATTTCGGCCCACACTCAGGGCCTGGCCCTCGCCGCTGCTCAGACCAGATGCCCTAACGAGGGCAAGCCGTGCGTTCTCCTCCCTCGGCTCCTCCTCTCACCTCCTGGGAACCTTCATCTCATGGTGACAAGACTGCCTTTCCCAAGGCCAGACTTTGCCTCCTTTCAACATGAAACAACACATGTGGTCAAACCATAAAAGAGAGGAATTCCCTGGTGGTACAGTGGTTAAGAATTCGCCTGCCAATGCAGGGGACACGGGTTCAATCTCTGATCTGGGAAGACTCCACACGTCATGGAGCAACTAAGCCTACGAGCCACAACTACTGAGCCCTTATGCTCTAGAGCCCGTGCTCTGCAACAAGAGAAGCCCCCACAATGAGAAGCCCACGCACCACAACAGAGAGTAGCCCCGCTCGCTGCAACTAGAGAACGCCCGTGCACAGCAACAAAGACCCACTGCAACCAAAAAATAAAATAATTTTTTTTTTAAACGTAAGAGAATAATTAAAATGAAAGCAAGAACAGCAGTTGTCTCTGAGGTGAGACAGGGAACAGGGACAAAGATGACTGCAACTAGAGAGGGTACTGTTGCATTTTTTTTAAAGTGGTGTCTACACAAGCATCCGCAGATTACTATTAACTTTTCTTACACATTTTCTAAGCTCCTCTACATGTATCTCACAGTAAGTTGCTCACATAAAAGGTCTGTGTAGCAGAGGGAGGGCTTGTGGAGATCTGAGATTTGCTGTGGTGATCAGGCAGTGAGTCATCTTTCTCAGGGGGAGATCCTCAAACATCAATATCCGAGGACCACTTTTCCTCCAAAAGGCATCGACTCCCTGCCTGGGAGCAGCCAGAGAGCAGCAGGGGAAAAGCTGAGCCCCCCACAGCTTGGGGTTAGGGTTTCACCTCATTCCCTTCTTTCCCGTCATGACTCAGCTCCACCTTCCACCATGCTTGACATTCTCAACCAAGGAGGCTGGCAGGTTCCACTTCTCCAGAGGTTAAAACTGGGCACTTCCACCAGGCCCCATGGAGGGCGGCAGTCACCCGGCTAAGCAGGATGGAGAAAGCGACCGGGGGAATCCGACCACTCAACATCCAGGCTCCGCACAGTATGCCTGCTTCCAACCACACCCATCAGCGCTCGCCTTGCACGAGCACAGACCACTGAGCCCCCAGCCCTCTGGGGTTCTCCAGGACAGGCACCTGCAATGCAACCTCTCCCTCTGTCAGTGAGCAGTATGTCTTAGACTCATGCACGCAAAATGCTTCACCGTGCAAGTCCTTTAAAACGAAATAAACAGGAAAACCTGTCTTCTCCAATAACACCTCAAAAGGGACATCTCTGAGATCACATGTTCAGTTTCTCAAATGAGTCTATGAAATTCTGTCACTAGTTCAGTTTCTATACCTTCGAGGGTCCAGTTCATGGTCCTTGGATCCAGTCACTAATTCCGGGTGAATTCGCACATGCTCCATCATTGGCTAAAAGAGTTTGGGTTGACAAGTTATAAAAGGCTTAAATTCTGTTGTATTTCTACACAATAAAATGTTATTTGACAATACAAAGGAATGAAATACTGACACAGGCCACAACATGGATGAATCTTAAAACATTACATTAAGTGAAAGAAGCCATTAACAAAAAAACCACATATTATATGACTCCATAAGCATGAAATATTTAGGACAGGCAAGTCCTATAAAGGCAAAAAATAGATTTGTAGTTACCAGGGCTGAGGGCAGTGGGCAAGACAGGGAGAAGGTTGAATTTCTTTTCAAAATTTCCCTAACATTTAATACAAAACATACAAATGCAGTCGATCTCTACAGTACACTAAGTGGCAAATAAATGGGTGTTCATTTACCTTGACCACTTCTTCAAAAGTCTCCAGGTTTTCCTTCATGCTGTAGTGAGAACGCAGAAAGGAGACAAAGTTGCAAGGGTACATCCCATACAGGCGATGGAAGAGAGCGTACACGCTGGCGTGGAGGTGAACGAGATAGACTTCTGTCACGTGGCCTAGAAAGAAATCCATTGAGGGGGCTCCTAGGTGGACATGGGACATGTGTGTGCAGACAGACAGGAGCACAGGCTGCCAACGGGACGCCAGTGGGACTTTCTGCACATGTGTGCTCCCGCCTCGCCCCAAAGACAGTAAGTAAAGAGCAGTTTTCCAAAACCCAAATCTGACCACACCGGACACCAGTCTGAAATCCATGGGTGGCTCCTGTGGCCTCTGAATAAACTCTCATCTACTTGGAGTGACCCACAGAGGCTTGCACTGATCTAACCCTTGCCCTCCTCTCTAGGAACCCCTGAACAAGGACCCCAGGACTGTGATACTGAAGCACCTTTACAGGAATATCCCTGGCAAGCTGTCCACATGTTGTCTCCACAGCCCGGTTCAGTACACACCTCATGAACAGCACCAGCTCACTCACACCTCTGCGCCCTGAGTGTTCTCACTGGGCTTGCTGCATAACAGGCATTCATATATTTGTGGAATGAATGTGTAAGAACCTTTTAAAATCAGTTCGTAGTCTTAGCTATGCAGATTTGTAACTACAGCGTGAAAAACTACTATCTGAAATTAGCTTAAAGAGCTAAGAGTGGGAGAAATGGAAAATTTAATTCATCTAGCCTTACCCAGACCCTATGGAAAATCCCAACGGTATGCATAATGCTCCTCTAATACAAAGGACAGGCCACTCCTTCCTCCCCAAGAAGAGCCTACTAGACAAGCCGACATCATCCAGGCCTCGGGCTTGTTACTTAATGCGGTAGGAGAAGCCACAGTGTTCCACTTCCCAGGGCTTACACATTTCATTCTTTCCATGTGAACATCTCATGCTGGGAGGACCAAAAGATCCCAAAGTTCACATGTTTACAGCTTCTGAATCATTCTGATAGAGCTGTACTACCTGTTGATGTAGAAACAAAATCCCCCTGTACTAAAAACTAGAACACTCATCAGGACCAGCCGTGTTCTCTCTCCTCCTTCCACACTTAGGACAGACGAGTTCTCTGAACCACAAGCTTGTGCTCTGTCACTACAGACCAAGAGGAGGACAAACATGTCCCACAAGCATAGTCCCATACTGCTGCAACACAGATTTAAGCTGTTTTTCAGTTTACGGAAAATCACGAAGTTGTACCCACCACTCAGTTTCTCTGACAACTAATCCTCTTAAGCCAACAAAATAAGAATAGAATCTCAACAGTCATGCTTTTTTTTTTTTTAATTTCTTGGCATGTGAGATCTAAGTTTCATGACCAGGGATTGAACCCACACCCCTGGCACTGGAAGCTCGGAGTCTTAGCCACTGAAGCATCAGGGAAGTCTCTGTCTTGCTTCTTATCTGTGCTCCTGGTGAAAAATACCTGAGGTATTCCCTCCCTGGCTGGTGACAACCAACCATTTCAAGCTCCAGGATTCTACCCGTCCTTTTCTTCCAGCACATGACCTGCTCATCACTCACACAAGCACTCACCTGGTGCAGCATGACAGGCACAGGAGGGGATCTTTACCTGGTTTCTTCAGGCACCACGACGAAAGACGGCCAAAAACATCAAAGAAATCGTGCAGGTGCTGCTTCCCCGACTGGGGGATCATCGGGAGCATGGTTACCAGCACCAGCACCGCTGTAGTGAGGACGACGACGTCGGTGTCCGTCTGCCGGGAGGGGGGCCGGGCGGGGAGAGACAGCTGTCAGACGTGCAGCAGGAGATCCGCACTCGGAGGCGCTCAAGCGAGAACACCGGCGCGGGCGTATCCTCCCCTCAGGGTGCTGGGGGCACAGCACTGAAGCACACTCAGCCGCCAGCCGCTGAGGACCGGCTCGACCGGGCCGCGTCTGGGGGGCCGCACTCAGGCACCACACGCATCCCGGGCAGGGCGTCAACGCGGCTGAGGAAACCCCAAGCCCAGACACTGCCGACGCGCTATAAACAGCCCTTGGCAGGAAGCACAAACTGCTTCTGAACAGAACAAAGAAATGTTGCTATTCTTGTTCATTCAACCAAATTATGAAGTACTTACTCTTTAAAAGTCAGTTAAAAAGACCCATATATATCGACAAGTCATTCTCTATTTCTAAAGGATCATAACAGAAGTATAACTTAACAAGAAATTAGTATAGCACTAACAAATCTTCTTAACGGCTCACCTTCACAGCAGTATTTAGAGACCAGCAAGTAAAAAAGATAACGGTGACCTCTGACCACGTCTACAGTTTAAACATCAAGTCATATAAATTTAGACTAACTGAACTTAATAACCAACGAATAATAAATCACCTCAGACTAGCTAAAGCGGCTCACCTGACCCATAATTGAATTATCAATGTCTGCCAAGTAACTGGAATTCAGATTGAAGCAACAAGATATTAAACAAAAGACTTCCATGCAGGTTAGAACATTCATTATTCCTCAAAAAAAGGACCTTTGAGTCTGGAAATAAACTTTGGGTTTTTTTTTTTTTAATAAATATGAATTTATTTATTTGGTAGTGCCGGGTCTCAATTGCAGCATGTGCAGTCTTTAGCTGCAGCATGCAGGGTTTTTAGCTGTGGCATGAGAACGCTTAGCTGTGGCATGTGGGATCTAGTCCCCCAACCAGGGTCTGGACCTGGGCCCCCCACATTGGGAGCATGGAGTCCCAGCCACTGGACCACCAGGAAAGAACCTGGAAATAAAGTTTTAAATAGATTTAGTTTTTACATCAAGCACCAAGCCATCTGTTATGGCAGATATCTAATAGGAAAAACATAAAAATACTGATAGGAGAATCAATAATCTGTAATGAGTTCTGACTTAAAAAAAAAAAAAAACACTAACAAAACATCCTAACTGAAAGCTTGGGTTAACAGTTTGTAAGTAATTTTCAAGGCTTATTCTTTTGGAAAAGGTTAAGTATTCTTTAATCTGAACTAAACAGTGTGCCTCAAAATCACATTATATTCTCATCAATCCATTCATTAAAAAAAATTAAGCTGCTGAAGTGGCTCCTGCTTTTCCTTAACATTAGACGTGCATCTTCATGCCACCCTGCCACCGTGACTCCCTGAGACCCACCTCTGGGGAGGATAAACAGCTGCCCTTTGCTGGCACAGACAAAAATCAACTTGCACGGTGCTGTGTCAGATGCCTCCAAAGGCGTGGCCATCCTGGAACAAACACTACTGGACAGCCTCACGTCTCTGGGAGGCACGCGCAGCTCACATTACCCATGTTTCCCTGTTTTATAGGCAGGAAACAAGTCCAGGAACTACAACAGATTAAACAAACGCCCTAAGTGTTTCAATACGCCACGGTCAAAACTAAAACCATAGTGTTCTACTTAGGTTTTGACTCTGCAGAAAAGTGCACTAAGCTGAGTGTGAAAAAGCAGAACGCAATCTGGTAGGGCTTCTACCAAAAAACCTCAGTTACAGCTGCAACCAGACCTGCTCCTAAATAGTTAAAAGTCGTAGCCATCTTGCTTTTAGCCAAAAGAGAACGCAGAAATAGGGATTCCCTCAAGACAAACCAGTACATTTCTAACTGAGGAGAGGCTAGACAATGATGAAATCAGAGAGGGCTGGGATAGCATATTGTTGAACCAATCTGACCGAAAAGTGACCGTATTTGCCTGGACCACATGTAACTGCACTAGACACAGTGATGCACTGAGAGTTAACTAAGTGCCAAGTTTGTACTGTGTTTTACAAGAAGAACCAAGTGCCCAGAAGTTTTTAAACTCTCAAAGTTAAAATCTAGCTGGCTTGTTTTAAGGTACTTAGAATTTCAGAAATTATATGATGAAGCTATTTCTCGCAAATCCTTACAAACATCATACCTTGAGACATTTTAGTAGAGAAGGCAAAAGAGGTGCTTGAGAGAGCTTATGCTTCCACGACGGCTGCAGCCTCACGACGTGGCCCAGTAGCAAGAGGGCAGATAACCGAGAGGCGGCCTTGCCCACGTATTCATTCATTTTGTCCAAGAGGTGCTGAATATGCACAAGAACAAGAGAACTGATCTCAGTAAAGCTGGGCAAAGTCAAGGGACCCCAGGGAAACACTCATGTGAGTACATGAAGTACACACAAGGAGAGGCAACAGTGACCAACTCCAGTCTCTCGAGTCGTCACTTGGATGTAAAAAAGGGTCATGCAGGTAAAGAGATCAAACTCAAGGTGTTTTTAAAGCCACGCAAACAAACACACTGTTGTGTTGCAGCAGTCCTCAGAGAGGGCAGACAGTCTGCAACTCCTGAAAAAAAAGTCCCCACAATACAGGTCTGTAAGTGGGAAGGAGACTCCTCTGTAGGCCCTCTTTCTGAAATACAAATAGGCCACTTCTTAGAGTAACCACTGTTCTAATAAGTGGAGGCTGTTGAAGCTTCAGGGGATCCTGCTGGAAGCAGCTACTTATTGCTACCAGGGCCCTGCCTTCATTGTTTGGCCCCAGATCTAACTCAGGTAGCAGGAGAAGCTAAAATTCAGCCCAGAGTGGAAACAAAACAAAACAAACAAAAAAACCCCCACCGAAGATGTACTGTAAAAGGCAGACAGTGGCAAGGCCTTCAAATCCCAGTTAAGTAAATCACCAGTACACACAAACTCAAGACAAATCAAAATGTGCAACTGCAATGCTTTGTTAGCTATTTACCATCAACAAAAATAAAAGCAAAAACAAAACATAAAGGAGCCTTCCAAGTACCTGGTGCTTGGAAAGAGCACTAGGCAATTAGCCCCATGAGGTACCAGACTTACAGCTTTCGCCATATGGATTAAAAGTCTAAAAACCCTACTCAGAGCACGTGTTTAAAGATGGGTACCTTATGGATCATCGTCACTGTACAATTATAGCTTAGGATCACAGGATTTCTTCTGAGAGCAAGATCTTTGAAGGCCTCTGAAATATGTTGTATTTTGAAACCTTTTCAGGAAACAAAAGTCCTGACGACTATTTGTATGTGTAGTTACAATCTGGGAGCAGCAGCATCAGTGGCACAAGGAAGTGGAAGGAGTGAGCTCCAAACAGGCCGGGCACTGGGGCTACACAGATGCGGTCACGGCCCCCGGAGAAGGGGCCACTCAGCACCCAGCAGGTACCTTATCATGGGGCTCTTGCAAGGTAGTCAGGATGTGCAATACAGGCTGAGAGTTGGTTTCCAGGTAATAATCCACCAAGGTGTTCACAAGCATGGGACCACGGTCTAAAGAAAGAAAAGGACTGTTTATAATAGTTATTTCCTCTAACATTCTAAACTTACCTCAAATATTAATAGTTGCCAGTAACAAAATCCAGAGAATGTTTCTTCATACACTACCCACAGTTACATGAAGTGTTGTATTTCTGCTTTCTAAAATGAATTTAGGTTTAACAACAGGATAATGTCAAGTTTATATGCCTAAGTAGCCATAGTTCAGTTCAGTTGCTCAGTCATGTCTGACTCTTTGCAACCCCATGGACTGCAGCACGCCAGGCTTCCCTGTCCATCACCAACTCTGGGAGCTTATTCAGACTCATGTCCATTGAGTTGGTGATGCCATCCAACCATCTCATTCTCTGTCGTCCCCTTCTCCTCCAGCCTTCAATCTTTCTCAGCATCAGGGTCTTTTCCAATTCTTCATATTAAGTGGATGAAGTATTGAGCTTCAGCTTCAGTCCTTCTAATGAATATTCAGGGACTGATTTTCTTTAGGACTGACTGGTTTAATCACCTTGAAGTCCAAGGGACTCTCAAGAGTCTCCTCCAGCACCACAGTTCAAAAGCATCAATTCTTTGGTGCTCAGCTTTATGGTCCAACTCTCACATCCATACATGACTACTGGAAAAATCATAGCTTTGACTAGAAACACATCTTTGCGTAAAGTAATGTCTCTGCTTTTCAATATGCTGTGTAGGTTTGTCATAGCTTTACTTCCAAGGAGCAAGCGTCTTTTAATTTCATGGGTTGCAGTCACCATCTGCAGTGATTTTGGAGCCCAAGAAAATAAAATCTGTCATTGTTTCCAATGTTTCCCCACTTATTTGCCATGGAGTGATGGGAATCAGTGAACTATGAACTGGAATGGGCGAATTTAATTCAAATGACCATTATATCTACTACAGTGGGCAAGAATCCCTTAGAAGAAATGGAGTAACCATCACAGTCAACAAAAGAGTACAAAATGCAGTACTTGGATGCAGTTTCAAAAATGACAGAATGATCTCTGTTCGTTTCCAAGGCAAACCACTCAACATCACAGAAATCCAAGTCTACGTCCCAACCACTAATGCCAAAGAATCTGAAGTTGAATGGTTCTATAAAGATCTACAAGACCTTCTAGAACTAACACCCAGAAAAGATGTCCTTTTCATGATAGGGGAAGTGAAGTCACTCAGTCCTGTCCAACTCTTTGTGACCCCATGGACTGTAGCCTACCAGGATCCTCAGTCCATGAGATTTTCCAGGCAAGAATACTGGAGTGGGTTGCCATTTCCTTCTCCAGGAGATCTTCCTGACCCAGGGATTGAACCCGGGTCTCCCGCATTGTAGGCAGATGCTTTACCGTATGCAAAAGCAGGAAGTCAAGAGATACCTGGAGTAACAGGCATGTTTGGCCTTGGAGTACAAAATGAAGCAGAGCAAGGGTGAACAGAGTTTTGACAAGAGAACACACTGGTCACAGCAAACACCCTCTTCCAACAACACAAGAGACAATTCTACACATGGACATCTCCAAATGGCCAATACCGAAATCAGACTGATTATATTCTTTGCAGCCGAAGATGAAGAAGCTCTATACAGTGCGCAAAAACAAGACTGGGAGCTGACTGTGGCTCAGATCATGAACTCCTTACTGCAAAATTCAGACTTAAATGGAAGAAAGTAGGGAAAACCACTAGACCATTCAGTATGACCTAAATCAAATCCCTTATGATTATACAGTGGAAATGACAAATAGATTCAAGGGATTAGATCTGATAGAGTGCCTGAAGAACTATGGACGGAGGTTCGTGACACTGTACAGGAGGCAGTGATCAAAACCAACCCCAAGAAGAAGAAATGCAAAATGGCTATCTGACGAGGCCTTAGAAATAGTTGTGAAAAGAAGAGAAGTGAAAGGCAAGGGAGAAAAGGAAAGATATACCCATCTGAATGCAGAGTTCCAAAGAATAGCAAGGAGGGATAAGAAAGCCTTCCTCAGTGATCAATGCAAAAAAATAAAGGAAAACAACAGAATGGGAAAGGCTAGAGATCTCTTCAAGAAAATCAGAGATACCAAGGGAACATTTCAGGCAAAAATGGGCACAATGAAGGACAGAAACAGTATGGACCTAACAGAAGCAGAAGATATTAAGAAGAGGTGGCAAGAATACACAGAAGAACTATACAGAAAAGATTTTAATGACCCCAACAACCACAATGGTGCGATCACTCACTTAGAACCAGACATCCTGGAGTGAGAAGTCAAGTGGGCCTTAGGAAGCATCACTACAAACGAAGCTGGTGGAGGTGATGGAACTCCAGCTGAGCTATTTCAAATCCTGAAAGACGATGCTGTGAAAGTGCTGCACTCAATATGTCAGCAAATCTGGAAAACTCGGCAGTGGCCACAGGACTGGAAAAGGTCAGTTTTCATTCCAATCCCAAAGAAAGGCAATGCAAAAGGATGTTCAAACTACCACGCTATTGCACTCATCTCACATGTTAGTAATGCTCAGAAGTCTCCAAGCTGGGCTTCAACAGTACGTGAATCGAGAACTCCCAGATGTTCAAGCTGGATTTAGAAATGGCAGAGGAACCAGAGATCAAATTGCCAATATCCACTGGATCATAAAAAACAACAACAGAATTTCAGAAAAACATCTACTTCTGCTTCACTGACTACACTAAAGCCTTTGACTTTGTGGATCACAACAAATTGTGAAAAGTAGCCTTAAGAGCACATGAAATACTGTCTCCTTTTTTAAACTGTTCTAGTGACAAAAATAATTCATGCCTATTGTTAACAACTCAGATGATGTGAAAGTGAATAAAACACAAGTGACAGTTTTCCTCACCGCTGGCCTCACGAGCGACTCCAGAGACAAACACTCTTGGGTTTGGTTCCTGTCCTTTCAAAGCTTCTCATCCAGGCAGAATCACGCACACACAGCCCCACATCCAGACATCCTCAGTCTGTGTATGTGTGTCTCTGCCACTCAACAAGGTGCTGCGGAAGGTGTCTCCTTCCTTCCTGCCGTCACGACCCCTTCCACAACGGCACCGATGACCTGCTTCCTTCTTTGCACCGAGCTCCTCGCTCTCCTCATGGCTCCACTATTAGTTCAGTCATACACCTACTGAAGGACACTTTGGTTTTTCCAAGTTTTTGTCACATTTCATTCAAGTGAATGAAATATGGATTCTTTTAAGCGGACCAAATGGCGTGTGCTTTTAATTAATGACAGATACTCCAAAAGGGGTAAAGCCCAAGTATTCATTCTCCTGCTAACAGTGCCCATTTCTATGACCAATATTTGATTTCTGCCAATCTGGTAAGCAAAAAAAGGGTACTGTTTAAACTTCTATTTCTGTGATTAAAAAGAGGTTCCAGGTGGCTCAGTGGTAAAGAACCTGCCCGCCAATGCAGGAGACACAGGAGATGCAGGTTCAATCCCTGGGTCAGGAAGATCCCCTGGAGGAGGAAATGACAACCCACTCCAGTGTTCCTGTCTAGAAAAATTCCATGGACAGAAGAGCCTGGTGGGCTGCAGTCCGTGGGGTTGCAGAGTGAGACACGCTCAGTATGCACGCAAGCATGTTTCATATCAGAAATGACATATGATTTACAGATGAAATGACATACCCAGGGTCTGTGTTGAAATGCCCGTGCAGGCGGACGTCAGGGAGGTTGGCTGACGCAGTGAAGGCTGGGCCAGGGGGGCTCCCTGTGTGACCCCACTTCTGTGTGTGTGAGTTTATGCGAATGGGCTCCCAGGTGGCTCTGTGGTAAAAATCTGCCTTCCAACGCAGGGTACCTGAGTTTGATCCCTGGGTCAGGAAGATCCCCTGGAGTAGCAAATGGCAACCCACTCCAGTGTTCTTGCCTGGGAAACTCCATGGACAGAGGAGTTCTGGCAGGCTACAGTCCATGGGGTTGCAAAGAGCTGGACACAGCTGAGCAACTGAGCACGTGTATAGTGCATAACCTATGAACAGTTCCACAACCAAAAACTTAACACACATGTAGAATGAATCCACCTGTGTATGCCTTCTCTTGGTGGTTTTCAGGACTGTCTTCAGAAGATGAAGTAGCTAAGCAGGGCAGGATCTGGCTTACCAGAGTTGAGATTCTCTTTAAAGACCGCTGTCACGTCGTCACGCACACCCAGCAGCGGGGAGTCCAGCATGGAGAGCAGCTCCCCAACGCTGGCTTGCTGGGCCATTATCTGACACGAGTGTGCTCTGCGGCTTCAGGATGTGCAGCAAAGACTTGGAAGGGTCTTCATCGCTGCCACTGCCAGACTGAAAAAAAAGAAGAGGAATGCTGTGGTAAAATGGCCCCATTTCCCCCCACAAAAACCTACTTGCCAGACAAACTGCGCATGTATTCAAAGCAGTGAAGTTTGTCCAGAACACTGTTGATAAAAGAAGCTAAGGAGTGTAAATAACGGGGTTCTTGACAAATTTATGAAGAGGAGTTCTAGGCAATGCAACAGAGAGAAACCTAATTATTAAAAAAAAAAAAAGACACCCGTTGGAATCATCCCAGAAACTTAGTAACAGGACTAAATCGAAGTTTTATTAATTACTGCTGATTCTACCTTGGGTTTAGGCTTCAAATCACTGATCCAAAGAGTAGGTAAACCATTTTCAGAAGAACTGAAAGAATGCTATCTTCTTGATAACCCCATCAGTGTCCAGAAGACAGTATGGCCAGTTAGGTCACAAGTGTATGAGTTCGAAACCTGACTTCAACCAGGGACGGTTCCTCTGTTTTCAGTTTATGCCCCTCATTTCAGACACCGATCCCACACTCCAATGTTGCCAGTTACAGCAAAGTGGGTGTGAATGAACAGGGGCATCAGGGCAAAGCCCGCACCTTCAAATGCTCAGTCCTTTATGGCAGTGAAGCAGTCACTTTATGTAAAAAAGCAGCTCACTCTCCACGTGTCACTAGACACACTTATAATCATTCATTTCTCCCCACTATGGTTTTTAAAGTTGTATTTGTAAAAACAGCTACCATTTCTTAGACAGGCACTGCACACCCTTCACAAACATCATCAAATATACTCCATATATAACTACAGTATGATTGGTTCTTTTATCCCCCGTTTTACAGGGAGAGGAACAGAGATCAAGCTATTTGCTTAGTGTCACAAAGCTAGCAGGAGGCAAAACCGGGGAGAACTGAAATTTGACCCCAAATGTACTTCACTCAAACCCTAAGTCCATAAACATGACATTAAACTTGTGGTTTTGATCATCACAGTGACTGTAAGGCAGGCAAATATTATCTTTATTTTACAAATCAGAGTATGGATATTCAAAAAGGATAAATAATTCTGCCAAGGTTCCACAGTAAAGCAGAACTTAGATGGCTCAGCTCTTAGACCAACAACTGTATATGTCACTTGCAGCCATTAGAATATGCTCTTAATTTGTTTTTGCTTGTCTTTGAGTAAGCTCAAATAATAGTTCTGGGACTGGCGGTCCAGTGACTAAGACTCTGTGCTCCCAATGCAGGGGGCCCAGGTTTAATCACTGGTCAGTGAACTAGACACCACATGCCACAACTAAAGATCCTGCATGCCTCAACTAAGACCCAGCATGGCCAATTAAATATTAATAAATAAATAAAAATACATACTTAAAAAAAGGAACAGTTCTCAGGCTTCAGTATGTATTAAAATCACCTGAGATCTAACTTTCTCGGCCCATTTTGGAACTGAATTGTGGACTCAGGAATTTTCATTTTAATAAGCACTCCAGAATAATTCTTTCAAGGGTAGATAAGCCCCATTTGAGAAACACCACACTAAGGCAAAACTGTGCTAATGATGAGTTAAGCTCCTCCTACTAGAATGCCAAATTTAAAGGAGCAATGACCCCTGAAACTGGTGAGTATTAACTTATTATTATCTATGCTCTTGTTTAATTACAACCTGGTGATATTCACTGATTTTTCTCTTGATAAATCAGAAATTCATTAGCCAGAAAGATCAATTAAAACATACAAATGAATTTTTGATAGCAAATATCGATATAGAAAGCATACTGTATGTTACAAGTATAATACAAATTTATATTTACATAAGTATAAATCTGACAGGTAAATCATAAAGGAAGTCATTTCAAAGGACTCAGAAATATGAGACCATAACCAGTAAGGTTTCACTATAAAAGTTCAAAGCTGAAAACAGAAACAAATTTCACCTTATTGTAAGTTGGATTAAATTAAATTTATAAGTGAAGATAATGCCAGCCTGTCCGGGTTTATTGTCCATCGAGAGGATTAAATGAGGTAACCTATATCACACAGTTAAGCACAGTACCTGGCAAAATAAACAGTCACTGAGTGGTACTCACGTATCATCATTATGAATGCTGATGACAACCTTTGGGTCACCACTTTCAAAATGACTTTAACAGCACATTTGTCAAGCTGATCCCCACATTCATTTCTACTTCGGGTAACTCACAAATGATTCTTAGACTTAAATGTATTTGGCCCTAAGTTTGGTTTCATGCCAGTAAGGCGGATGCTTACCTTGTCTCAGGCTAGTGAGGCTCCTGAGTCTGTCTTTTGTGTGCTCAGAAGACAGTCGTGTCAGAGCTGCTCCTCCAAATGCAGGCAGCCCGGAGCAGAGTGACTAAACAAAGATGGCGCCCATCCAGTCAACTTGGCGGTCCTCAGGGCTGACCGTCACGGACCACCTCACTTGTTTTTCAGATTGTAATTTAGGTATAAAGTCTGATTTCTGGAGGCTACTCTTTCCAAGTGCTTTACAGAAAGCAAAAATAATGTTTTAGTCTAAAATACACTCGTGCATTTTTTTGGCAACAAGCTTTTGTTGCTTGTCTCCTCAGTTCTAAAATTCTACCTTTCAATCATATTTTTCTAATCCCCAGGAAAAATATAAATCATGGGCTTTTTGTGGGATTTTTCACTTAAGTGCCTCAAGTTCGAGGATTTTTGACATTCTAAAAAGCCCTCTCGGGAGTTCAATCATAAGCCTTTGGAATTAGTTCCATGACTGTAATATCTCTCATTTTTAAACTTATTCAAATATTTCCTGAGGGGTTAAGTGCAGGGTGCTAAGTAGGGAAGAAAGACTTAGCATGTGCCATGAAGAACCAGACACACATGAGCAGGAAATGGACACGGTTCAATGCGTACAGAAGGGAGGGAAGGGACCAGCTGGATGTGGTGGGAGTGGGTGAGTTGCACACGTGTTAAACACACTTGACAGCCTAGAGGAGACAAGGGAAAAGTCACTGAGAGGTTAGCACCACAGGCTCATCAGGCATCGCTTTCGCCATGAAAGTCTTGCTTCCATTTCGGAAGTAACCATGCATAGGAACAGGAGATGGGAGAAGCCGAGAGTTCAGTGTCCAAGTCCATACATTTCTGTATCCTACACACCAAAGCAACATTTTGTTTTAGTTTACTATTACCGTTGGGGGTCACACAGCACAGTACAGTGCTATCAATGATGTTGTTTATATTAGGGAGTCATGACTTTCAATACACACTCCCCACCCCAAAACCTGTCCCTCTGCCAGCTTCCTGGACCTCAGTAACAGGCACAACCATCAGTCTACACTGACGTCTAGGTGACATCCTTGACTCGTCCACCACTCTAACGCTCACATCTAATCCGCTGGCAAGCCCACTGACTTCCCCTTCTGTTTCACCCCAGTCCGAGCCCCAATCGTGTCCCTTTAAAGACAAGGGACCAGCAGTCTCCATCACTCCTCTCCCCTACAACACCACCAAGATGCTGAAACAGGGAAATCAGACTCCACTGTTCCCATGTAAAATCACCCAGCGGCTCCCCATGGAGCTCACAAGAGTCAGCTCCCCTGCGGCTGCCAGGCACACCTGACCGAGCGGCTGTGAAGTGCCACTGCCCCCGGCCTGCTTCACCGCACCCTGCCACCCCCTGCTCGAGTCCCAGGCTTCTGAAGCTCAGGCAAACAGCGCCCTGCTCAGGCCTCTGCACCTGCTGCTGCCTCCGTCCTTGGGGTGCTTTTCTCCCAGATCCTCGTGTTGCTGTCAGTTTCAAGCCTCTGCTCAAAACGTCGCCGTCTTGGAGAGGCCTCCCAGACCACCCCATCTAAAGCAACAGGGGGGTTCTAAGTCACTACTTCTGAATCAACCAGACTGAACCTCTACACTGGTAACCAGGTGTGATCAAACAGAACACTTAGCATGGTCTCAACAAGCATGGAAAAGAGGGATTTAACAAAGTTTGATTTTAGCTTCTATTTTTGGTCCAAATCTGGCTGTGGCCTTGGTCTGTAGGACTGAAAGGTGAACGGTCAATCACCCACTTTAGCAGCATTTCTGGGACCCCTGACTGTGTATGCGTGACCAGCAGGACATGTTAATGTTACCATCATACATAATCCACACAACGTCTGTAATGTGGACAGGCAAGCATTTAGGATTACTGTTAACGTCGGAACAAAGGGAAAACATTCTAGATGAAACGTCTAAGCTTTGTGTTTTACAAGTTGAAATTCCTCAATGCAATATTCATTCATTTATTATTATTAAAAATAAAAGCTTCAGTTAATATGATTTTTATGTTTGAAAATAAGGACTTTCAAACAGTTAAATATATTAATGAATATCAACAAGGTAGGTTCACTACATAGCTTTACAAATAACAGTAGTTATTCCTTGAGCCAAATGTTTATAAAACTTTTAACAATACTTGGCTACATGACAGAAATTAAAGTATATTTTAATTCTAACTTTTATAGAATTTTTAATTTATTATAAAAAATAATCACTTAATAACTTCATTTAATTTGTAACCCTAATTTGTAGTCTTTCAAGAAAAAGTTGAATTTGGGAACACCACACGTCTTGTGAAGGTGAATTAAAAATAAAATGCCAGCTGTTACCTAAATTTTAAAACACGCAAATAAAACCCCAAATCACAGTCAACAATACCCACGATAAATAATCTTCAAGTCAAACATAAAGAATATGAAAAAAAAATGTTAAGAAAAAAATGAAATACTCAAACACACTTTATACTCACTAATCAAAAATTTCAAAACAGATTTTATAAAACTGTTATCAGAAGACAATTTCTTGTTGTTTTTGTCTTGTATTTTGTGTCTATGGGGGCTAAAAATTTAAACAAAAAGCTTTTCAAGATGACTGACATAGGTTGTCAATAATTGTTAAGGTGGCTTTAAGATAAAGGATCCTTGAGGCTTGACCAAGCTATGAATCCCAGGTACAGGTTCCTTCTAAAACATAATTTACCAGAAACTCTCCTGAATTCCGTTCTACCTTGTCCACAGTTAGTGATGGGACTAAAAGTGGCAGCTGAAGAAGAACATCTTTCTGGTATCACACCTGTGCTAACACAGGAGCAATCCAGCAGCTGACGGTGCTGACCAAGTACTTTTCCTACATTAAAATTTCAAACTTTAACAATATGACTACTGAAATTTAAAACAAGTGCAATACTGAAAAATATTTAATACAGTCTGTGATTTCTGATGTGTAACATTCAGCGTGGGCCTCGAGGATATGAACAGAACCATCTGACACTGGGTTCAAATACATATTCAGTGGCCTTCCGACAATGGACAGGGTGAAGTACACACGAAACGCGTGAAAAATGGGACCTCCTTGCACCACTAGTCCAAGGTTAAGAACCACCTGTCAGTGCAGGGGACCCAGGTTTGACCCCTGGTCCAGAAGATTCTACATGCTGCTGGGCAACTGAACCCATGAGCCACAACTACTGAAGCCCATGCACTCTAGAGTCTGTGCTCCCCAACAAGAGAAGCCACCACAATGAGGAGTCCCGCTTGCCACAACTAGAGAAAGCCCGTTCAGCAGTGAAGACTCAGTAGAGCCAAATATAAATATAAATTAAAAAAAAAATTTGTTTTGAAAATGAAAAGTCAAACTCAGAAAGTCTTCTGTACTTGTAAGGGAACAATGCTTCTTCCACCTTCTTGTGAGTCTACAATCTGTATTAAGACCCTGTTTGTGAACAGACAGCAAGCTTTAAGGCAAAAATCCTCACCTTATTTCGTAATTCTTATGAGGTAAGATGAGGCAGACAGTGACAATGCAGCAAAGGGCAACCAGGGCAGCATCAGATGAACCCCACTAGCCGTCTGTGTACAAAGACAGCAGACTTCCCATCTTCCCTATGCCCTTCCTGCAGATAGAAAGCTGCTGCACTGAGCATGCCTGCCTCTAAACTCAAAATCTTGCTCAGGGATCACTCAGGCCACTCAGGCTACACTCCTAGCCACAGACATGACAGAGCCAGGATATGTAGGAAGGATATATTCTAGGACTCTGAGAATGCTCCAACTCCTAGAAACCACGACATCATACATCTCATCCCCAAAAAACTGATTAAGACAAGTAATAGATAAAGCCATGTTAAGATGTAAATGCTAACTCATTAGCTCAGGGGTCCTCAGCCTAGTTCTTTCACTAGAATAACCTGGAGAGGCTACAAATCTTGAAGCCCAGGACTCACTCCAGAGCAGGTTAAGGGGCGAGGTCCAGACAGTACATCTGGTTTGTTTTTATAGACCCATGTCGGTTTTTAAGGCACAGCCAGGGTTGAGAACCTCTGTGCTAGTTAAATGGCTTGCTCAAACACTCAGGGTTCAATTTTATTTAGTGGTTAAAACCAAATTTTGCTGTTCAACAGAGATGATTTGAGTCGCGGGTACACCAAGTACCAGCTATACAACCTTAGGAAAATTACATAACATTTTGGAGCCCAATTCCTTATCTGCAAAATGAAGACACACCAAAAGTATGGCTGTGAAGAGGAAAATAAATAACCACAGAATGCACTTAACACCATGCCTAGCACTGAATAAGCCGTTAATAAATTACCAGTAATTTGACTAATTACTTCACGGCACAGAAGGTCCAGTTACTGGCAAATAGCTAAAACCATCAACATTACATCCTGAATGCAAAGAAACCTCTCTGCACCAGTGCAACCACAGACAAGATAAATGGTTCTCCCCTACCTTCCCCCCAGCCGCTGCGCTGACTTTACACCTTACCTGTTCTGGGGATAATTGGTACTTCAGTTTCCTGTGCTGTCAACCTGGTGTCTTTCATGGTCACTGGAAAAAAAAACACGTATCTGTAAATCACCATCTCACGCTGCAGTGAGATTCCAGACGCCATCAGAGGGGGTCGGGGTTTACCAGCTCCCCGCTCCACCCCACCCGACAGGTGGCCATCTGGTTTCCGCTGGAATGAACACTCGGAATCACTGGGTGCATGGGCCTCTCCCCATCTACATTTCTGAACAGCTGGCTGCGGGAAAATTCTTTATATTGCGCTGAACTTGTGAAGTCTGCCTTTTGTTAACTGTCTTTATTAGAGCTATAAATGAGTGGGCAGTAAATGCACGGGCAGGACAGGCTCTAGAATTAGAGCTCGGAGTAGAAAAACCCAGGCTCCACCACTGAGCAGCCATGTAACTCTGGCTGACTGATTGCACATCTCTAACGTCTAACCTTAAATCCTGTCATCCGTACGGAGAGAAGAGTCACGGCACCTGCCTCCTGAGGCTGTGTGGTGCCTGCTGCCTTGCAGCCCGCAGCACGGTGCGGGGCAGAGGAACTACCCGAGGTGCCCCAGGAGTAAGAACAGCGCCGGGCATGAAGCACGTACTGGGCCCGCATCAGCCCCCCGGCCCCGAGACCCTGCCCCACAAGCCTCACCTTCTCTCAGCTGACCCATGTGCTCCCCACTTCAGGACCAGGAATGAGCTGTCCCCATGCCCGAGAGACCCGACCTCTGCCTGCTCCCGAGCTCAGTCTTCACCGTCAAATTCTTCACTTGAACAAGCGCTTCTTCAGAGAACCCTTCGCTTCCCTCCACTCACGCCCAGACCAAGTCAGGCCTGGCACATGCTCTCTGTAGCCTGTGTTTCTTGGTGTCACTGACCACGACCCGATTAAAGAAGTGCAATGAGTTACTGAGCATGTCCCCATCACCAGCACAGGAGTCCCAGGCAAGGAAAGACAGGAGCTTCCTCAGCACTGTATCTCCTACAGCTGCCACAGAGTCTGGGACTTGCTGGCGGAATGACTCGGAGTCAGAATATTTCTTAAATAAATGTACAAAGCTGAACTCAGCCTTCAAAACAGCACCAACTCAACCTAATCCCTCTGCATGACAAACGTAAAATATTTGAGAACAGCTAGCATTTTTCTATTTTCTTCTCCTGCTCTCTTTTCTGAATTATATTAAATATCCATGTTTAACATGATATATATATACATTCCAGCTTGCTTTTTAAACTGTGGGTCCTTAAACTACATTTAGGTACAGCCTGATTAGACTGTGAGCTCCACAGGGACTGGACCACCTGCTGGGTCCACTGGTGGACGCCCAGGGCCTATGTCAGTGTCCGGCACCCAACGGGCAAATACACCCTGTGTGGGTCAACAAAGAGCTCACCAGCTTCTTTGGTAGCCATTCTAGGGTGGGACATAGACATGGCAGCTGAAGCTCATACACAATATAGGCCTAATTACACTCAGCACGGAAGAGCCGAGAAGCAAGCCCTTCAATATATGATCCTGGCCAAAGTTGAAGCAATGTGTCAGGCAGCTCTCTCACAGTTAAAACTTCATGCTCAGATGATGGGGTAATTATCTTTCCTTGTGGAACACATTCTAGGCATTCAATACCAGCGGTCCTCAGCAGCATACTCCAAGTGTGTGTGCAGAGCTGGGCAGAGAATGGCCTTCCGAGGAGGCCAAGCAAACCATTCAGACGGAGTGCTTGCCCAGCCACAGTCACTCCACCAGAAGAGCTGCAGTTAAAACCCTGGAGCCTCTAATCTTGAGAGTGTTAAAATCAGCTCTGAGTCCAGGGAGTCATACAGACTCCTCTTGCAATTAATCACAGCTGGATGTTTTACCTGAAAAGGAACATCCAAGGCAAGGATAAAATTAGGATGTAATACCAGATGTGATCTCGTAGCCTGTCCAGCCAGGATCACTGTCATAGATAAAGAAATTGGCATAGAAAGTCAGAACAGTTTTTGTCCAATGCTCGACATTAAGACTTCACGTCTTTACTACGATGCTAAAAGATGGTAATGGTAATAAGTGTTGGCGAGTCAAGGGCTACCTGCCATTATTAACATTTGGAAGTGTTTACCTGTTCACTTATATTTAAATCCTGCCCCGTGGAGATACTACTAGGGAAAATCATGCAGCCTGTGAACTTCCTGCTCAAAAGTAAGGAATGGAGAAGACCCTCCTCAAAAATGTGTCCCCCTGAGGGGTTAGGAAGGAAACACCTGTCAAGAGTGTAACAGGGCCAATCCATGTTCTTACCTTCAGAAGCCAAATTAAAAAGGAAACATGCCCTCAGACTTAGACCCTTCCTTTTTGATGTCTGACCCCAAAGCAGTATTCTCACCTGAAAGCAACACAGTAATTGCCCTTCTACAAAGGCAATTAAAAAGTCTCTCTGAATAAAAATAAAGGGTAGGTTCCAGGAAGAAGATGAGAGCTCTGTGCTTCAGTGTTTTGAGATTAAGCAAAAGGAGCATAGGCCACCTTGTTCTCACATTTCACCTTCATTTCATTCTTTAGGTGTTTACAGAGAAATGGCCGATATACACAGGGCCACACACGGTCTCCAGCTAGACCAGTCATGTGGAGGTACCATTCAGCAGGACCTGCACACATTTTTTCACACATCTCTGCCCTAGCATATCTCTGCGTTACAAGCGGTGAGAGAGCTAAGAGCTGTATACACCTTTATGAAACACTTGTGGCAGGTACCCAAATGCCTTTAGAAAGTATTTTATCTGAAAATATCAGTTGAATATTCGGACTTTTGGAAAAAGTATTGTGTGTGGCCTTCTCACCCCTGGGACTCTTCAGAACCACAAACTACATAAAATACGTAACTATGTATCACATCACCTAAGATAATTTTGTACAACTTGTCTATGATGTAAAAACAACTACAGATATAATAAAGGCAGGCAGAAGCCTTTTCACTGTAACTTGTTTTCTATACTGAGGTTTTTATCTAAGAAAGTTCAAAGACAATTCAGATACAGGTTGCAGCACAGATGGACTATGTCATGATCAAGTCCAGCACAAATAGAAGAGAAACATTACACCAGTAACACAGACAGTAATAAAATGTCAATAATATACTTTATACAGTCAGGCGGGGCTCTGGCTCCGTAACACTCAGGTGATTTCTTACAGGAATATTCTATCAAGTGAATAAAGTTGTCTTTAGCACAAATGCATCTAAAAAAGGTAAGATATGAGCTTCAATTCCCCTTCCTACTTCTGCACGGAAGGAAATTATCACTCAAGTGTGTGAAAGTGAAACAGCTGAGAGAAAACCAGGCAACATGTATAGTCATGTGTGATTTAAATGGTCTCAGCAGCTGTGGTCCCTTCTCAAGGTTGTATATAGACAGAGGAGGAGCTCCAGGTTCTCCATTCAGAACGTTAGCCATCAGGAACCCGAGAGGACAATCTGCTGGAGAGTATAACCTATTTCATAGGTGGATCCTCTAGTATCTTGTCTGCAGGGAGAGACACTGATTTTGGTTAGGTGTACGTCTTCTATAATATAAGGCACTTCCCTGGTGGCTCAGTGGTAAAGAATCTGCCTGCAATGCAGAAGCAGGAGGCACAGGTTCAATTCCTGGGTCGGGAAGATCCCCTGGAGAAGGAAATGGCCACCTGCTCCAGTATTCTTGCCTGGGAAATCCCATGGACAGAAGGAGCCCAACAGGCTACAGCCCATGGGGTTCCAAACAGTAGGTCTTGAGCCAGTGACTAAAACAACAGCAACCACCACATCATCTATAAACAGTGTTTCTTATGTTTTAACTTTCTATTAGCATGAACAAAATTATTTACCAAGAAAATAAACCAAGTGTCATGTTTCAAAATACAGAGCTTCTCTTAAAATAAATCTGAGCAAACTGTAAGTTTTCTTTAGGTTTCAAGTTCAAGGACTAAAATAGAAAACTCCTAGGGAATAAGGGCACAAGCTTTGAGAGTCTAGGACTAACACCTGTGGGTCTCAAAGGTGGTCCTCACACCAGCAACACCCATCACTTGGGGATTTAAGCCTGGTCTGAGACCCCTGAATCTGGAAGTGGGGTCTTCCAGGTGATTCTGAACCACTAGTCTAGGAAGAAGGGAGAAGGCAAGAAATATTAAATATATATATATATATTTAATATATAGATATACTTTTGAGGCTCAAAAGGAAAAAAAAAAAAGATAGTGGATAAACCTTGGGAAAAAGCCCACTGGAATTCTGCCAGATGCTAAAGGTACACAGGGACTGAATGCTAAGCCTGACAAGCATTTAGCAAGTTACACACCTGAGTTCTCCACTTAAAACTTCTTTTAATGTGACACCTAAGGTTGATTTCCCAGTGAGGTGTAAAGAACCTTTCAATATAGAAGTTTTAACAGAAATATTTACAGTACAAGCAGTACACAGTCCATCTTTAAAAGACTTGGGCCTTCCTATCTGTGGGCTGCTTTTGTTTCTGCAAGTCCGAGTCCATTTTTAAGAGCAATAAACTATTTGGAATGATCAACCGGTCTGCAGGCTGCGTCTGTAAAGTTCCTATTCAAATTTTCTTATCTGTGTGAATTTTGTTGGAGCTGATGGGACAGAAAAGGGTATTTGGTCCACAGCTTCCCACAAACTCTCAGAGGGGAACTGAGGCCCCCAAAATCTTAAGAACCACTGACCTTTCAACTAGTTTATGAGCTCAGCAGTTCAGACCATTTATCAAGTGAAAGATTAAATGTGTGGGCTCTGTAGTCAACCAACAGGGTTCAAATCCTAGCTCAACTCACTGAATAAGTTACTGAAGCCTCCACTTTCTCATCTCCCTATGCTGTCCCTGAAAGGTTTCAGGAAGAGCTAACAGGATCATGAATGTCAAAAACTTCAGCACACTGGCATTGTGCCAATAAATACAAATTTTATTATAAAAATATTACTACTATGCAAAATGTACTACTAGGTACATAAGGCTTACAAGTCAACACTTAATAACTTACATCTGAAACACTGATGAAGTCATTCTGCAGTTTAAAATGGATACACTTCATGTTTCTCGCTGCGCCTGTGTGCTCTGTACTCCGAGCAGCTCAGGTCTTAACCACTGCAGACAGTAAGGTCATGACATCTGTTCTTTCTCACCGCGGCCCAGCGTGCCCTCCATCACCAAGAGGAGAGTAAAATTATCCCTTGTCACTCGAAAGACACTTCATGGGCTCTATTGCCATCATCTTTCCTTTAGAAGGTGACCTGTGAATTCTAGGCCAGTAACTACCATGGCTTGTTTTGTATCAAAACTAGGTTTTTAAGGCACTTTACTCATTAGATGACAATCTGAATTCACTCAACCTTTAAAAGCGTTGTTACCTTTTGCTACTTCCCTGTGTAGAACAAAAGTTAGTACTACACAAGAGAAGTACGAAGAAATAAGCAAGGCCCTGGGATTATACATGTTTTATATACATGAAAGTTTTTGTTGGTTTTTTTTTTCATTCTCCCCCCTCCCAAAAATAGACACTAGACATTAAATTACTAATGTTTAGGAACTATAGGCTTAAAAAGCAAAGCAGATATATGTATACCTATGGCTGATTCATGTTGAAGCTTGACAGAAAACAACAAAATTCTGTAAAGCAATTATCCTTCAATTTAAAAAAATAAATTTTTTTAAAAAGCAAAGTAGAAAAGGAATAATCTAAAATTGTTGATGGTAATTTTAGACCAATTTAAATGGGCTGAAACCTTTTTCAGACCAATGGGAAAAATAGCTTTTTTCATATACAAACTATATGAAACACAGAGGGAAAAATTCAGTGTTTTAAGTATATGCCAATTATAAATATTTATTTTTAAGCAAAAAGCTAGAGGAAGAGGTTTAAATGCTATTGAGTACACTTTTCTTTCATGCTTGCAGCTACTTAATTGATAAAACTAATACCAATAAAACTAATCTCTCAAAAAGAGATTTATAATGTGAGGCACTTACAAGGAATATCTTTTTCTAAAATGTGATAGGAAAGGATAAACACTCAACAGGTCAAGCTAAAAGTCGTCGGTTTGCTTAGTTATTATAAAGCCATTTAACACCTGATTCGATCAACATAGAATGTTTAACTTAGCCCCCAAAGGACTTGAAATCTATGTGACTTTTAGAAAAGCTCGAAATGGCTTATGTATTGCTGTACTTGGCTCATCTGCAGTCAAGAATATCTAATTAATTCCAGGAAAAGTTAATTTTAGTTCACCAAGGCCCTAGAACCTGGAAAAGAATGGTAGCTGCACCTTAACAAACTTTAAAAGACGACATCCGTAAGATCAAGTCAGCTGTACCTCAGAGCCCCAAACTTACCCACCACTATATATACCAGAGGTTAGAAGCTACTTTTAAAAATGCCTCTGCAGTGAATTATAAATTAAAAGAAAAATAGCCAAACAGATAATTTCAGCCACTGGTCCTCAACCCCTGGTGCCATCAGAATCACCTATAACTTCTTCCAAAATATATATCTAGGGTATCCTCAGCGACACACGCAAGCTACCTGTACATGAAGGTTTGACAGACACTACTGTTAAGAGATTTCTCATTTCCAGCAATTTCATTGTTCTACAGACAGAAATACATTTGATCTGTCCTAGTCAAGACTGTTTAGTTTCACTTCACAAAGAAGAACAGAAGGCACCATGTTACACCCAAAGACTGGGATGTCTTCACCCTTAAGGATCCAATCAGGCAGAGTACAACTGAGTCACAGGATTTGAGACACTCCAATTTAACGGAAAACAAGTAAGAATGTGGGTAGCTGCCTAGGAATCTGTCTAACTAGGAATTTAGGAACATACCAAAGTCTTTATGACACCAGGAAATGCATGAAGCAGAGAAAGCTTACATCATTTGCCCTTTCACACACGTGATGTAAGAGTATTTGGCGTAAGATATTAACTTTAGTAAGAGGATATTTCCCATTTACATCTTCTATAAACACCCCTTAAGTTTACACCCCGTGGTTAGAGGAAGATTCTGCAGCTCCCCAGGGCAATAGCAAAGGATGTTTCACTGTTTCTGAGGCGCCTCATTTGCTTGATGCACAACCGTTAGAGTTTGCATTTCCCCACACGACCTTAAATCAGTTTCCACATTTGCATATTCCAGGTTTACTCGGGAATGTTCAACTTAAGAATCACAGGTGGTTGCTCAGTAAATCAAGGGCTCCCACAAGGTTGGGTTTTATAATGCTTCTCTAAATTTACAGCCCCATTTTGTCAACAAGTGCAAATTCAGATGACTCCAAGTTGATCCCCAAATTATAAATCCAAGTATCTCAGAAGAATATTATTCTATTTTAGTACTTTTACCAGCTTAGACTGTGTCAAGTGAAGTGCTATTTCTATGCTTTCTATAAAAAATCCGGCAAGGATTTTAGCACGGCTTCTTTCTGCAGTAAACGCATTGGTTTTATGAAAACATCAAATACTTTCCAGCCTAATTTAGACTACCGTGTTTATAGTCACAACACTGCCATCCCAAACAAAAGCTAAGGTATGTGAACAAGTGGGCCCCTCTTTAAAATTAAGCACGCACACACAGGCACTTATGCACAAACCCTGGCCAACTGATTAACTCTAATCACCTGATCAGAAAGAATGACAAGTTAGATCTGATCAAATAACAGATAAACGAGAATCATGTTAAGTACAAACAAAGGCAGGAGCGCAGTCTTGGAATCAGTCAGACTCCAGTTCCAATCCCGACTCACAGAATCCTAGAGGTGTGACCTTGGGGCAAGATACCCTAATCTCTGAGCCTCAGTTTCTTCATCTGAGAAATGGGAGGGATTCCTGGTGGCTGCCTCTCCCCTTTGTCACGAGGGCTAAAGGAGGTGACGACTGCGGAGCCCTTCCACAGTGCGTGCTCCATCAAGAAGCTGCTGGTGTCAGGAGGACCGCGCCCCCTCCAAAGCCCCCACCCCCACCCCTCCAAACCTAGAACGCCCGAAGCAAAACTCTGTACCAGGAAACACAAAGAAACAGCTTTAATTCTCAAAGGGCTCTCTGACTGCCGGTTCTTCATCCTCCAGTTCCTCAAATGAATGAATGAGCGTCTAGGAGTGGCTCTGCAAATAGCTGTCTCTTAAGAATCACCTCTGCCGGCTGGAAGGTAACTGTCTTTCACCACCAATTAAACATCCAGAAGCACACCTGGAGCGAAGCACACACGCTCATGCAAATTTAAGCGGAGACACCGAGTCCGGGCAGGTCCCCGATGCCCACAGGCAGACTCCATTCATTCCCGCCCCCCCCCCACCCGACCCCTCTCATCAAGCCCTGGCACCAGCCCCGACCCCTCAATCCGGACCTGCCTCTCCCGCGGGGATCTCGCCTCGGCTCTCCGCACCCCGCGGGAACCTGTCACCCCACCGAGCAAGGGGCTAGCAAAGCGGCCCACCTCACCCCCTGTCCTCGGCACCTCGGCCCGGGGGGGAGGTGCAGCGGTCCCCTCAGCCGCCGAGGAGGAGCCAAGTGCCGACCGGGGCCTCCTCTCTTCCCCCAGAAACCCGCCAACCCTCGTCAGGCCCTGTCGGAAATAGCGAGTAATAAGAGGGAGGGGAAAGCTCCCCGAACCCCCCCTTCCCGGGGTCCCTTCCCCGGCAAGTGAGTGCCTTGCCCCAGCCCCACAGGGCTTCCCAGACTGGGGTCATGATGCCGGGACTGCCCCGAGAAGACCCCAGCGAAAAGGAAGGGGCGACACCCCCGTACTCACCCACCGTCTCCTCCCCCTCAGCTGTTTACCTCACAGTTCCTCCAGCCTACAGGGCGCCGCCATCTTGGACGTACAGCACCTCCCCCCCCGTCGTGAAATGTCCACGGCCGCTGCAGCCTCCGCCACGAAAAAGAGTCCCCCAGCCGCGCCGCGCCTCGCCCTCGAACCCGACGACAGTTGACCGTGGTCGCCTGCCCCTTTGGAAAGAAGGGGCCGTTCTTCTCATTACTGGTGGTGCTAACCGGTCGAGAAAGAGCCAAGAAGAGTTGTAAGGTAGGGGGTGGGGTGGGGGGGGGGGGGGGGGCGGGGACGGGCGGAAGGATTCCGAAAGGGAGCTGCTGAGAGATCTTGTGACTCCGAAGGAGGCGAAAAGAAGGGCCGGCGCGGCGGGGAGGAGCCACGCGGAAGAGCGAGGGGCGGGGAGGTGGTCACGTGACCCGGGCGGGCGGGCGGGGCCGCGCAAGAGGCGTAAACAAGTGGTCCGGGCTGGGTGTGGTTGGGGCGCCTCCTGCATTCCCGAGGCTGGCATACCCGGGTTCTCCCTTGTGCCTGACCGCGGATCTTCCATCTTGTTTCCCAAGGAGCCAGTGGGACCCCCGTGGGAGAAGGGCCTGCGGAGAATCCCACTACCTTCTGCCGCTCAGATTGCTACCGTTTCAGTCGGTCACGACTTCTGGGGAAAAGCACCCTAATCAGAGCGGGCCGCTTTCAAAGCCCAACCCCTTCATTCAATCCCTGCCCTGCTCCCTTCCTAGCTGTGTAAACCTGGGCAAGCTTTGAAGTCCTTTGAGCCTTAGTTTCTTTCTCTGAAATGGGCATAATAACACGAGTGAGTGAGGATTCAGGGGCATAAAGTATGGAGGGTGTTTAAGCGCCGTGACCCATGTAGGGTAAATGCTCGCAAGATGATGGTCCTCGAAGGCAGGTTGTGGTGAGCGCTGTGACTGATCCAGAGCAGGGTGAGAGAGGCCGCAGTCTGAAGCATCTGAAAGGCTTTCTGAAGGAGTGCGCATCAAGCTAGGCCTTGAAAGAAAGGTAGGTTTTAGGAAATAGAAGTGGGAGAGGCAGTTGGAAAGGAAAGAACTAAAAGAAGCTGGTAGCACCTGGGGATAACTCTGGGTGAGTTACGGAAAAAACAAGTTTTGTCGCGGGAACCATTTGGGTCACAAGGCAAGGCAGGATATGGCTTAAGGGGCCTACTGTGAGAGTGGCCAGGGTTCCAGGAGGCCCAGCGTGGTCCCAGGTAGGACTGCTGTTAGCCTTTTAGGGTTAGAGAGGCCCCAAGAGAATTAGAAGAAGGCCTTTTCTCTGGGCCCATAGCCCATGTGAGCACAGCCCAGGCTGCATCTTGGCCCTTAGCCACCCATACCCACTTCTCCTGGGGGCCCTTGAGCAGTGCACAGCCTTTATCACCATCCTGGCTTATGGGGCAGGGGGGCATTGACCTGGCAATTCCACCAGCCTAACACTGCCTGGAGGCAGCTGGGGAAGCCAAGAGGTTGTTGTTCCAACAGACCAGCGTGTGAACACAGGTTTCTGCTATTGTGTTCATGAGCTGAGCCTTAGTTTCTTCCTCTGCAACATAGGAGTTTTAATATTAATCATGATGCCTACCGAATGGGGATTTGGGGTGAATTCAATGAGAGCTTAAGACGTAGCCAGCATAGAACCTATTTCAATAAATGTTAGTTTTGTTAGCATTTACCAATGCTCTCACAACCGGCATCCAATCACTGCCTGGAATCAGTCCACCTGGTGCTAACTTCCGTGTAGTCACCCAGCATAGCCAGCCTGGGGCCCAGAGATGGAAGGGCTGGAGGAGAAGAGGGGGATGCCTAGGTTCCCCTAGTCCACAAACCATTCCACAGGAACAGATTCCTGCCTTGGCATTAGCCTGTGGCAAGGACTTGGGCACAGTCTGAATCCCCCAGTGACCAGGAGGGATGGTGTCGGGGGACGGGCATGACTCCAGACCTCCAGCCCAGGAACCCCCTTTACCCACCCCCCTCTTCCTTGGCTCAGTGACCTCATCCTGCTGGAATGCTATCCTCCGTGGAAGGGAGCAGTGATACACGAGCCTCATCAGCTCCTGGCCCTCAAGGGGGCCATAACTGCGCTGTTACTGTTTATACAATATCTGGGAGAAGAATGATAATAGTTCTCTCAATATGGACCACTAGGGGTTTGTGAGAAGAGGCTAGGAGGAAAGGCAGAGGCAGCCCTGCCCCTGCTCAGGGGCTGGCTCCATATTTTCTGCTTTTCTGGGATTGATTTTGTCATTGACTTTTTGTTCAGTTGCTGTCATGTCCGACTCTTTGTGACCCCTTGGACTGCAGCACACAAGGCTTCCCTGTCCTTCACTATCACCTGGAGTTTGCTCAGACTCATGTCCATTGAGTCGGTGATGCCATTCAACCATCTCATCCTTTGTCATCCCCTTCTCCTCCTGCCTTCAGTCTTTCCCAGCATCAGGGTCTTTTCCAGTGAGTCAGTTCTTCACATCAGGTGGCCAAAGCATTGGAGCTTCAGCATCAGTCCTTCCAATGAATATTCAGGACTGATTTCCTTTAGCATGGACTGGTTTGATCTCCTTGGTGTCCAAGGGACTCTCAAGAGTCTTCTCCAACACCATAGTTCAGAAGCATCAATTCTTCGGCACTCAGACAGCTGTTAATCAGACTGCTATCTTCTACATACCTTCCTGGAGCTTCTCCATGGCATGAGCTTCTGGCCAGGCTTTCTCCAACCATCCTGTCCACACTCGGTGACAAGACAGAAGGGATGAGCCCTAGGAGGCAGGTGGCACTGACTTGATGTGTGTGAGGCACACCTGTGCATTTGCCTGGGCATCTCCCCCTCCCCCTCCTGGGACCACAGCATCAACCTCAGGCATCTGGCCAATCCCGGATCCCAAGCATCCAGCCGAAGGGATTGGCACGGTTGGACATGTGACCCAAGTTGGGCCAATCAGGGTGCTTCCTTGAGTGTTTATACATGGATGTTGAAAGAGATGTTATCTTTCTTCTGGGGTCATTGAACTAGGATAAAGCTGTGGCCCTCCCCCTCTCCCTCTCCTACCTCAGGCTCCATGAACTCGCTAGCCAAAAGATGGAAAAGATACAGAGAAAGAGAGAGATGAAAAGAGAAAAGTTGGTTGCTCTCCCCTCAATTTACGAAGTCCCTGAGGCCAGCTTCACCCTGGGCTTCTGAGTTGCATGAAGCAAAAACTATTTTGGCTGATGCTCGTTTCAGGTGGATTTCTGTCCTTCCCAAAAGGCCTTCCAGATGCAATAAGAGTTGAAGGCCTTTGGAAGGACCCCACTAGTCAATATTACATCCTTTTCAGTGTCACAGGGTCATCCATTTGAGGGGTCCTGTTGCTTCAGCTTTCTGCATGCAGCCCCCTGCTTTCAGGGGTCAGCCATCTCCTGGAGGATGGCGTCCAAGTTTCCGAGAGCAGCCCCGAGGGCCCCTTGCAGCCCTGGCCTCTCCAGCTTGTCATTGTCCCCTTGCTGCCTGGCACTGTCAGAATGGACACATATATGTGTTCAAAGGTATGCGGATATTTTTAACTCATGTAGATGGATTATGTCATAGATGGCAATCTGCTTCTTACTTTTTGCCCCCCTCAGCGTTGTTTTGAAGCCCATGCGTGTTGCTCTAAATAAATCCAGCCAGTAGCTTCTGTTGACAGTTATTCAGTGGTGTGGATCTACCCCAGTCTACTCTCATGTCCCATGGAATGACAGCCAAAGCCCACCAGGAGAAAACCTGTGATAAACCTCCGTGTACCTGTTCCCTTGAGGCTTCTCAGGTCGAGCTAGTGGTAAAGAACGTGCCTGCCAGTGCTGGAGACCTCAGAGGTGTGGGTTCGATCCCTGGGTTGGGAAGATCCCCTGGGGGAGGGCATGGATCAGCCCACTCCAGTATTCTTGCCTGGAGAATCTCACGGACAGAGGAGCCTGGTGGCCTGTGGTCCATAGGGTCTCAAACAGCTGGACATGACTGAAGCAACTTAGCGCACATGCACGCACCTGTTCCCTTACGGGCCCAGCTGAGAACTTCTTTGGGATGCATGACTAGGAGTAAAAGTGGTGGGTCATAGAGCATGCATGGACTTACTCTTTTTTGCTGTTTTTAGAGAAAAAATTAGCTTTACAGAGGTATAATGAGTATACAAATGATTCATGTTATATCCTGATGGCTTCTAACATGGCATACTCCTGTGGTACCCATCACCAGAGCCAAGGTACTAACCGTATCCATCACCCCCAGAAATTTTACAGACTTAAGATAACACCACCCGACTGTTCTCTAGGACAGCTGCCTCAGTTTACAGTCTCACTGTAAGTCTACAGAAATGCCCACATCCCTGCCAACAGTCTTCAACTGTGAAGTATAATAGGCCTATCATGGTGATCCGTTCTCTTTTTAACTTACCTCTCTTAATGAGATGGAGCATTTCTTTACGTTCTTGTTAATCTTGTAGGTTTCATCCTCTACAAATGGCCAATTCTTATCTTTTAACTATTTTTCCCCTAGTAGAGTTACTCTGTTTTCCTTGTTGATTTGCAGGATTGCAACACACAGATGTGTCCTTCATTGACTGTAGATACTTCCAGTGTCTTCCCCCATCCGTTATCTTCCTATTAACTATCACTGTATTGTGCTTTGTTGGAAAAGTGACGTTAATTTTGGTGTTATCAACCCCCCCTCCTTCTCGTCCTCTTTCTTTTCTGACTTATGATCTGGGTTTTGGGGTTTGTTCAAGGATGCCTTTTCCGACACTTACTCAGAAAGGACAGATGCATGGTGGCCACAGGTGTGCAGCGCATGCACCAGGCCACCTAGGGGGACAGAGGAGGACGGGCAGAGCTGAGACCCCGGCTCTACAACCCTGCTATGTGGCCTGGGCGAGTCCCCAAGTTTCCTTTTCTATACTTAGACAATAGGGATGCCACCAATGCCTTAAATACCCACCTCAGAGGGTCGCTAGGGCTGTCCAGTGAGAGACTTGTGTAAATGCTCATCAGAGCACGTGCCAAAGTGTGGGCACCAGTGAATGTTGGCGTTACCGTTCCCTCCACCTGCACGAGCTCCACTGTCTGCAGCTGCCGTGACAAAGTACCACAGACAGGCTGGCTTTGAATAACGGAAGCGTAAGGCATTCCCTGGTGGTCCAGTGGTTAGGACTGCGTGTTCTCACTGCTGGGGCCCCAGGTTCAACCCCTGGTCAGGGAACTAAGATCCCACAAGCCATGTGGCGTGGCCAA